ATGTACCTAATGATTGGCCTATATGTTATGATTGATTATCCGAGGACCGAGGTTTGTTTTTTTTTTACGAATTTTCACACACGCGATATAACGTATAGAAATTCAAAAAAGAATGAAAGAATTACTCTTGGCAGTCGCTATTGGAGAACTGGATGATGATATGGGCGATGACATGGATGACGCTGTAGCTCTTCACATCCTGGGTGATGAAGATCAGGAGAATAATTTACCTAATGTTTTCGTTTGTCTTTATTCATTTATGACTTATGATCCCCCTTCTCTCCCGATGGTCGTGTTTGGCCAAATTCGGCCCGATACGGTTCACGTTCGGTCCGTACGCAGAGATAATTACGTGAGCTCCCGGGCCATATGCGTACGTGAACGCGAATTTGATGTTTTTGCGCATGCGTACGTTCAAAACCTACCTTTGCAGATCATTGAGACTACTGTTCCGAAATTGAATAAATTTTATTTGAAATAATACCACAAAAATCACAATCAAATCAGCACTATTTCAACACTTCGAATCACTCAAATCAATTACTATATTTTATCAACTAACTCTCCGATTATTGACTTTATTGTCCGATTCACATCTGCCTCGCCCTAAAAGCCGATTCCTTGTGTCCCACTTCACTTTGATACAAGGTTGAATTCCATTCTCGGAATTCTAGTGAACATGGTCAGGCATAGGAGTAGGACAGGATCGAAAGATGAGCTTACAGGCGAACATTTTAACAGACTTAGTATAAAGAGGGTTTCATCCCGCAGTACCTTGATGCGGTGTTGCCAGATTGTGCACCACTCAGAAAAAATTTAAATTCGGCAACGTTGAACGCTGTATGACTTACAACATTATGATTGTTATTTTTGCTAATTATCGGTCTGATATGTTTGGACAGTAACTTATTAAGACAAAGAGAAAATTTACTAAGTTCAAGTAAGATGACCTTACCTGGGTAACTTTTTGCATGGCATATGTTGAACTCCAACCTCAGACTTGACCAAAGTTTACAGACTTTACCATCGAATTTGAAAATCTGGCTTCATAGTTTTAAGCTTTACCGACATCTTCAAAACATAAAGATGTATTTGGTTATTGGGCGCAAGTTATTTTTAAATTCGATTAATTTTCTCTCGTTAAAAACCTCTTTGGGCTCTTTGAAGTTAAATTTAGAGTATAAGGTTAGAGTGGTGTTATCTAATTGACTCCTGTTTTTTTTTTCAGGTATTTTACCTGACTCCAACGCACAAATATTCCGATCATCCAAGGCCCGCGAAAGTTGGCAGAAGTCGCACTACACGAGATTATCTTCGGTGCGTCGCCTGTGGGTAAACATTGATTCGGATTTTGCAAAAATAGTGGCGATTCATCAAAAATCTTGATAAACTACACAGAACGACCGAACGTTGAGACGTTTTGAATCGGCGTCAGAAATAACGTTATCGGAGTGAACAATTATAGGCAGATCCTACTGCGTACTGTGATTGCAATGTCAGTACCATTTTTGGGAAGGCGTCGGGTAAGTGATTATGAAATTGTAGTTGGTTTCGATAGATAATTGTTCATTTGATTTAATGTGAGGTCTACGATGACATTGGAGTGGAATTGTTTTCTGTGAGGTTTTTATCACGTGATTTTATGTCCTTATGGCGTGTAAACGCTGAGCAAGGTTTATCAATAGAAAATTACGTTGGTGGATGCCAATACTTATAGTTCTCATTAAATAGTTGATTAATTTTTATAAAAATTACTTCCATTAAAAGTATAGTTTTATTTGCTTTGAAGTGCTTTCTGCATGACAAATAATCGCATATTATACGCAAACTAATGAAATATTTAGTTGAAAAGGTGTGAACATTGTATATAAATGAATAAATTTTGTCGATCCAGTTGCTCATGATTTTTGCGCTCTACAACTAAAGTGAAGAAATTTTCTTTCGCAGTTCTTCCCATTGATTCACGAAAATTTATTCATTCGCTGAATTCAAGCAATAATTATTATTTAAACATTATCCTTTCATCTTTGATTCAAAAACGTCAAAGCAAATATTAGTTGTGTACTCAACAACATACCTACCTACACTACGCGCCATAACCAGAGATTTCTGAAAAAAGTTTTGTTTTTCAATCAATAAAAATTGTTTCCAATCCGCCGAGAAAAACTTTCCAATAGGCGAGGAATGGTTAATCAAGATTTGTTTACCAATAAACTACCTTTTCAATGAAGTATTTCGATAAATTGCCTTTAAAACTCCGATAATACACGAGATTTTTATTTTTTCTTAATACATATGTTATAAATGCGATAGCATGGAATTCTAGTACTTAGAAACTTTTCAGCAAAAGTTGTAGAGAATATTGCTTAAAATTTTTGCTATACCTAATATTACATTCATCCTTTCAAATGCGGAAATAACCCAAATATCCTAAAAACTCACGCCGACAATACCATCCAGCACCAGGGGAATGTTACCGGAAAAAGTTGTTTTCAAATTCGCATTCTCCTATTCCTATACTATAACTCAAAAACCAGCATAATAAACCAAATTTTGGACTAAAGTCAATTTTCTTGTGAAATTAAAATGTTCCATCAGCGCAGCGGGCTGAACTTTGATACGTAGCTAGGTCGCAGGTGAAACTATATAAAAAGGACAGAATTTATTCTGTATGGCTGGGAAATGCGACACAGAATATTTTTTATCCATAATTTTTTTTCTCTACAATTCTTGTAAAACAAGTTTTTCTGTACATTTTTGAGATTTTACGCCTACTTAAAGGGGGTGTGCGCCGAAAATTAAAGTTTTAGTGTAAAAAAATCTAAGAATAACTGTTCAAACCTCGTTATTCTACGATAAACCATCCCTGAGATATACCGCTTTAAAGTTTGGACGACGCTCTCGTGACGTCACGGGAAATTCGTCCAGCCGCGCTCCGCATTGTTAATTGGATTGTTCCCGGCACGCGTGAGTGGTTTTTGTTTAGATTCATGCAGGTAACACAGGAAAAACATATGTAAATTTAATTAACTCCACTTTCTCGTGCGTCGCTTGAGCTTTCGTGACGTCATAGGGTGAGATGCGGTACCTTCATAGAGCCATGTCTGCGGTATTATTTGTCATAGAGGGGTGCGGATTTCACTGTTATTCTTAGATTTTTTTTCTCTTTTTTTTGAGATGAAGCTGTTTTTTTGGCGCACACCCCCTTTAAAATAGCTCTGCACCCAAACTCAGCCATCTGATGGCCCATTTCATTTCCACGACAAGAAAATCGACCTCTGGCCAAAATATTGCTCATTTCGCGATCAGGGAAAACGATTACTGGAGATTGTTTTGATTTCTTTTTTTAGAATAAATTACTGCTTTATTACGATCAATAAAAACAATCCTTGCATTTGATTTTTCGCCTAAATATTATACTGGGAAAAAGCTTGATAGTCGCTTTATTACTGTATTTATACACAAAACGTGTTTTATTTGTGTTATAAAATTATTTATTTTGTGTACACAATGCATTTACTTTTATTTTTAGAGTTCTTCCATCAAAAAGGAATTTTCCGAAAAAGAATTAAAAGGTGAGTAGTTACTTTTGACTATTGAGGTAAAATAACTCTACTAAGTAATCTACTTATAATTTTAACAGATTCACATCTACCTACCTACCTACTATTTGTCAAATTATCACTGTTTCACAAAAAAATAAAATCCGATTGACCCGCAATAAGTAGTATATTTAAAACTATAGACTTTGATCAAAATTACTAGCAGTGACTCTGAGTGAACACCTGACGTCTCACAACCCGCGCCACCACTGGCGCCACTGTATATGCGAGGAATGATATTTTATAGCGGATGATCTGATCGAACAAGAATCACCCCCAATATCTCTTTAACAGGTTATAACTTCAAGATTCCTTTAGATCCTCCAAATTAGGCTTCAAAAATGTACCTGCATAAGAAAAATCACTTATTGTCAAAAATATATTGAAATTTAGGTTTCGCGCATATCGGTACATATATTTTAAACTGATTCAATCAAAGAAGACAGATTTTGAAAACTAGAAAGTAAAGTACCTACCTACAGTCCGGCCGTCAAATGAGAAAATGAGCTTGGACCTTTGAGTTAACCCGTTCGCCGCCAAAAAGATTTCGGTTGATCGGGTCCAAAATGCCAATGTTGAGAAACTATATTTTATCATCAGAATAGGCCTAAATAACATAAAATATTCATCCAAAGCAGTACCCCCATATTTTTGCAATAAAATACCATACCATACCATACCATACCAAAGACTACCATGTTTGATTTTTTTTTTTTTTGTTCAATCATGTCTGTGTGAAACTTTTATACATGTCCCGTAGGCCAGGGACCCCCATTAGCCTGTATTTACAACGAATATACTCGTACTTGACTTTGAACGACACGATGCAAAATACGAGTTATCTCCTAGCTGGTACCTCTAATAAGATTGTCTACTACGAGTTAACTCGTACTTGGCAGTGAACGTGTTAAGGTACAACTAATGTTATTTATAATTGATTTTAGTACTATTTGATATACTGAACCATAATATGAGGGGTGCCAGTTTTGGGCAAGTTGAAATATTGAAGGTCAAAGTTCACGGGGTCTAAAAAACAGAACTCACCCATTTTATTAGGTATCTAGTTTCATTTAAGTTTAATTACAGAATGCATATCAGATAACAGAATATTCAGAGTCGGCAGTAGACATTTCACTATCACTGCCATCAAGCTGAGCTTCGCGAGTTCCCAAATTGCCACACAATTGGCCGCCTTCGCACGCGCAAAATTCTTTACAAGACCTACATGTGCACAACTGCACCTTGCTGTTGAACATGGCTTCTCACTTGCACAGCTACCTACATCTTAAATTTTTCAACAATTCTGGTGGTGCCAACCCTTTGTTACTTGGAAGTTGTATGGGTGCCAAAGAGCCATAAGAGCTTCATTCTTTGCCCATCATCCATAGTCAGTTGGATTCAAAGGTGGAGGGAACGGAGATGCTGCTGCGTTCCAAATGCAAGATTGCAATGGCATCGTTTTATATGTAGTTCAAATGCCTCTGTTGAAGGAGGGAGTTTCTTAATTTTAGGAGGAATTTTTTTAGATAACCACACCTTGTATCGAACATCTGACATGTTGTGAACTTCCTTCTTGTAGCCGTAGCAGCATGCAATAATGCTTGTACACTCTGCTATACATTGTCGCATTGAAGTTTCTACCAAACCTAAATGTTCAATTTCAATACCAGATCTCAGAGCTTGTACAGCTTTATACTTTCCAATTCCAAAAAATTGTGAAGTGCTATCACAGCCAGTGAGACAATGCACTGCTAACAATGAGTTTAGTTGGGTTCCCAGATTATAAACTGTTGCTGGTATATCTGAGAGTTTGGCCTTGTCAACAGACTCCATCCACATAGCGCATTTAAGATTTAGCTTTCTGTAAAAGTGTACAAGCAGAACAAAAACGTCGGTGTCATCGAGTAGAATCCTCATATTGTTCGTTGCACACCTTGACAGACGAAAAGCCTGTTGTACAATTATAACGTTTGCTTTTTCATGGTAAGGTGAATTTCCAAATCCGAGCAAGGAATTACAACGTCAGGAGTTTGTAATTCAATTGGGATTGTATCATTACCAAATGACCAACTTGTGTGGAAGCCGACTCCCTTTCATTCACAATAAAATGGGTGGTTTCTGTTATTTTGATCTCGTGAACTTTGACCTTCGATATTTCAAGTTGCCCAAAAGTGCCACTCTGGCACCCCTCGTATTAAGATTCAGTGTATATCAAATAGTACTAGAATCAATCATAAAACATTAGTTGTACCCTACTTCAAGGTCACATGGCTCGACGACCCGACTACTATACTGGAAATTCAACATAGGTATTATACGTACATCTCAGAAAGTGCCATCACCTTGGAATTGTCAGTTTTTCCTTGGCAAATAAATCAGAGTAACAAATATTTTGATGCTTTTTTGCCTTTTTTGAAATTCATGATACTTAGTTTTAAATTTTTCTGCCAATTATAAGAATGCTGCCTCTGCTGATCAAAGGAATTCGGAAGAAGACGATTTTTTGGACTAGCCAACAATTTCTCGTAAATATCAACTCATAGGCGCAAGGGCATGTTTAATCCGGGAAGATAAACGATTGATGAATGCATGCTTAAAGACTAACTATCGTTCTAAATTTAGCTCATAGGAATAAAACTTCTAGTTTTTCCGTCTTTCTAGTTAACTTTTGAATCAATGAAATATAATTCAAGTGCAGACTTTCTTCAGAGGTACCTTTACAAATAGCCAATCAATATACCTATCGCAATCGGTAACATTGTTAAAAAAACAAATTTTTGTGACGGTGCCAAAAATCCGATTAGAGTGTTATTTTGGCTGCGACTGCACTTTAATCTAATGTACATTATTAATAATTGATCGTTGTAAACGAGTGTGCGATTTCCCGAAATATCCCCAGAGAGTTAAAATTAAGTCGTTTCGAACTATTTTTGCGTTTTTGAATTACTGCCAGTTGCTTGAAACTGTCGTTCTCGTGCAGCTTACCTAATTGACCAAAAAAGTGGGCTAGTCTAGACTTTATCCCTAGTATTCGATGCCAAATTGCTAATCAAAAGGGGCTTGTTAGTCATAGTCAAAATTTCCATGTATTTTAGGCACATGATGTTGGTTGACAATGTTGAAATAATTCTTAAAATAATAAATCTGACCAAGTATATTTTGCCAAAATTATTGGTTGTACCTTTTTTTTATAACCCGATAATTTTATATTACCTACTTGCACGTTACTTACGATCATGCTTTGTCAATGAAACTTATTTTCCGACAATAAAGTATGTTTTGATTGATTGATTGGTCTCGTGTCTGCGTCGCTGTTCTCCAAAAGTTTGTGGTCCGTCGTGGACTCTTCGACGCCATGAGGGCTTATCATTTGTCGTCCTTTCTCATCCCAGTTGCTGGTATCGATGCGGCACTCTGCCATATTCTCCTTAAGAACATCTTTGTAGCGTTTTTGTTGACCTCCTAGATTTCGTTTCCCCTCCTTCAGTTTAAGGTAGAAAATCTGTCGTGAAAGACGTGTTTCAGATGACCTGTCCAGCGAAGTTGGTGCTTAATGATCAGCTTCCATGCTAGCTGTTTTGGCCTACTCTAAAACACTAATGTTCGTTCGTCGGTCTTGCCATTTAATTCGTAGGATCCTTCTTAGGCATCGCTGGTGGTATTTTTCTAGGCTTTTTATGTGTCTTCTGCAGGTGGTTCATGAATCGCAGCCATATATGTAAGTGTTGGTATTACAACTGCTTTGTATACCCCAAGTTTGGTCTCAATTCTGATGTCGTGATTGTTGAAGACTCTCTCTAGAAGTCGCCCGAACGCCGCACTAGCACACTTGAAACGATGTTGTATTTCAGCCAATGGTCAAGGATGATACGCACCTACAGGATTGCTTATCAGCCTCGTTTTTGGTAATCGCCGCCATATTGGTGTGTCACCATTTTCGACGTCATAAATAAGTCGTCAGCTGTTTAAACAGCCTACGTCAAGGCGAGAAATTAGATGCTGCCTACGTCACAATTGGTGATTTGGCGCGAGGGTGGGGGGAAGAGGGGATTTGTTACACACAGGCCTTATGAGGATAGGCCATCCTGTAGTAGTAGTGTGTTTTATCCTTGGTCAATGTTTGCATTCGGTGACAAATGGCTCCCAAGGTATGGGTAGTGTTCTACGTTCTGCACAGAATGGCCAATAATATTTAAATTTTGGGTTTGGGGATTAGTTCCCGGTGTGGGTTGGTACAGAATCTCCGTCTTGTTAAAGTCGACCTCTAGACAGATTCTCCTGTACGCCTGGTCGAATTCATTGATAATTGCCTGAAAGATCTTCTTCTGTATTGGCCATCACGACGTTATCATCCGCATATTATTGAAATTCAATTACCGATGTCGTCGATACTTTCGTCTTGACTCGTGATCTGTTTAAGCCGCCATCAAGTCCTGCACAGGATTTGTACCTGACGGCAGGTGACCCTCGACAAGGTGAAGTCTGAATCCTATAAATAGAGGAAATAAAGTGGGTGAAAGATTCTCCTTGTCCATCGTTGCTTAGGACGGTTGCATTCATATTATCATGCAGCAGGCGGAGAATCTGGATGTACTTTTGCAGACCCCAACCTTTGCCAATATGCTCCAAAGAGCTTCTCTGTTGACCGAATCCAATGCTTTCATTTTAATCTATGAAGGCCATGTATAGATGGCGATTTTTTTCTCTGGATTTCTCTTGCAGTAGTCTTGCACTGTCAGCTGTGCCTCGGTTAGGTCTAAAGCCGCACTGTGTCTCTGGGAGGTTCTCTTCAGCAGTTGGGACTAGACGATTTCATAATATCCAAGCAAGTATCTTTCCCTCAACAGAAAGTGAAGATATTCCTCTATAGTTTCCACATTAAGCCTCGTCTCCCTGGCAACTATGGAGGCATCTCTAAGTTCGGCAGGTATGGTCTCGGTAATCAATATTTTACTTATTAGGATGTGAGTTTAAGCACTTAGTGTGGGGCCTCCTCCTCCTAGTTTGAAGAATTCATCAGGAATGCCGTCAGTACCAGCTGACTTATTGTTCTTTAGTTGTCTTCCTTTCCAACTCCTCTAATCTGGGAACCTCACTCAGTTCTCGTTGTATTAATTTCTGTGGAGTTTGTTGCAGATTTTTTATTTTTGATTCTCTGTTAAGTAGTTCCTGAAAGTGTTCCTTACAACGAGAACGAATGGAAGAAACGTCTTTAAAGCATTCTTGTGCCATCTTTGAATCGTAAGGGATTGAGTGCTTGAGGGGTTGGTCCGCATATCATCTTAGTAGCCTGAAAGAAGGCCCTGGTGCTGTTGGATTCAGCTAGTTGCTGCATTTCGTTTGATTTTGTTATCCACCATTGGTTCTTTAATGCTCGCGGCTTTCTGAAATCTGTATGGGTACTTATGCTTAGCCAAAGGCGGCATAAAATAGTTAAAGTTTTTTTCTTTTGGTGCCACTCCCAAAAGGGGAAAAGCTTTCGAACACTTAATAGTCCCCAGTACATTGACCCTAAAATTTTGTAACTCATGTTGGTACACGCCAAACTTCCTGAGCGGCTTCATAACGTCAAGTCCGACGCCCCCAACATGTTCCTGCGGCGTCATTTTGAGGGCGTCGGACTCCCCCCCATTGCCACGAAATTTTTGTCTGACAAATGTGATATCGTTAATCTAAAAAATAGTCGATTGGAGTTAAAACTACACGTACATCTCAAAGACGTCAGAATTACAACTTCACGAAGAGCTAGCGCAACAATGTCCCATCATCGGCCGGGTTGAAGATATGAAAGAAAATTGTCAGACTTTGTTATGAAGCCGCTCAGGAAGTTTGGCGTGTATGAATTACAAAATTTTGAGATCGATGTACTGGGGACTATAAACTACCCAAAAATCTACAGAAAAATTTCTTTTTATCAAACTATTTAATTAATATCTGAACTAACTGGGGACTGGGATTCCCAGAAATGCGAAGTTCGCGAAACAGAACAGCGCACCCATCGCCACCATTAAACAGCCACTCGACTCGCTGATTAGACCTCTTGGATCGGACTCAAGAATATTACCTATATACTACACCAGGACTGCTCATCTGTCGGTATTTTTCGGATCAAGGTCATTTATAGGCGTTTCGGAAACGGTGCTCCGATTAACCCGATCACCAACTGATGTAAATTGTTTTTTTTTTTTTTCAATTGCGTTCATCAAAGATAGATGAAAAACAAACAGCTAGTGATCGGGTTAATCGGAACAGCGTTTCCGAAAAGCTCTATTTTGTAGTGCTGCCTGCCTCAGCGGTCCTAGATCGAGCCCAAGTTTCTTAAAGTTAATGTTGTTTGGTAATGGGTAACTTGATGACGCATCTAGGGTGCCTTATGGAGATTTTTAAAATGTTGATGCACCCCAGACGACGTCATAAAATTATCAGGCAACCTACCTCTCTCAAACAACCTTGGATTAAACCCATGGATTGGACCGACGCGCGGGAACCGCGGCATCCCGCGGGACCATATGAGAATAGAGAGTTGCAAAATGTTGCGATTAATGCGATCCCGCCTATAGGGGTGTATAGCAACGCAAATAAATTTGGCAGTCACAGTGATTAGTAGTAGTGGTAATAATAACAATTAATTACATCTTTGATATCATTGTCCTTGTGCTGATAAAACTAATTTTCAAATTCTACCTTTTGATGATTTTTTCATTACCTTAACTACGGAAAGTAAAGTACCTATACATTTAAAATTTTTCGTATGGGTGCTCCGCACCCATGATATATTCAGTATGGGTGCTTGCGCAGCCATCGCACCCATGGAGTCGGTGCCTATGGGAGGAGTACAAAAACGCTTCTTTGATATTATTTTGAAATTCCTAGTTTATCTTGACTTACGGCTGCCTTTAGTGGTAGATGAACACGTAGAACAGGTAGAATTTGAGATGCTAGAAGTGGAAGAACGTTTTCTTTTTCGTTGTGCGACATTTATTGATCTTAAACACACACGCGTACCGACGAAAAAATCCCGTTACCTATATCCTAGTTCTTATGTTAGGGAGCTTGACAAATTATAGCATATTTTTCTGGTATGTATGACTCAGACGTTGTTGGTCGGTCGGAAAGAAGGTGTACCAGAGTATCTGGCCGTATTTTTGATTAGTATACCTGCCTACATAGATAATATTTACAAGATCAATTGATTAAAAGCCGTCAAATTTGCTTATATCATAAGTAGGAAGGTACATACTTTAAAACGTTGGCAAACATTACCATTTGGTACATCTACAATGTATACCTGTACGAAACCAAAACATTATTGTTTCTAAAAAAGTTCCCAAATTTCTAGACCTAAGAACTGCCTTTGACCTTCTAGACAGAAATCAAGATGGGAAAGTTACCACAAGAGAATTCAAAATAATGCTAAACAATTTGGGCATCGATATAAGAGATGACAAAATTGAGGGACTTATAAGATGTGCAAGTCATTCAGGTGAGACTTTACAAATAAAACAGTTTTATATAATGATGACGATTCAAATTTGAGATTCGAATTTTGATTCACAACCCGACCGGAAAATGTATTTTATGATTCTATTCTATTACGATTTCATTTTGTTGTTTTAGTATTTTTGTTACATTTGTGGGTAGGAAATAAAAATAATAAGTGAAACTTATCGGACACACTTTTCAAAACTTAACTGTTCATTGAAACAATATTTAGGCAAGGGCAGCCACTAGACTTATTTGGAAGACTATAAAAACGAAATGTTCATTTGTGATTCCGTTGCCAAGCGTCGACGTTGAAAAATTGTGTACGTACAGCTTTTAAATTTAAAAAAAGAAGTCAAATTTTAAATTCAGTAAGTGTCTCTACTTTTTAAGAAATTTACTACGGGAGCAAACTTACCTGTGACCATTCCTTGGAGGCAAATAAAATATAAAGACAGGACCAATCTAGGATACATTCATTTCAATATTGGTTTCAGGAAAACTGTGGCACCCTTAGTGCCACAATAAATCTAATAAATGGTAACAAATCTGGATAGAGATGAGGTGGTACACTTTTTTTTGACTTACCCTAAGGCTCTTGCATGATGTCGTAGTAAGTCACAGCAAAGTTTAGCCACGGTTTGCAGTTAAATAACTTGTGATTTTAAAAGTGTCATATTGGAATCGATAACAGTTTCCCAAAATCCGCTCACTAAATTTAGTCTTTGAATATAAAAACGGTCCCTTGATATCAGAAACAATTTTATTTTATTTTTTTCATTTTACGTACATTTAAGTATTATTTATCAGACAATGTCATTTATGTTTTCCTTATGACTTCAGTTATTTTATCTTAGGCAAAGAACTAATTGATGAAAACGACTTCCTGAAATTCGTTAAACTAATCCAAGAACTTTGTCCAATAAGAAACACAAACGACGACGAAGAGCTTGACCTTCTAGCAGCATTTAAAGTGTTCGATATGGACAATGATGGTTTTATCACAAAAGACGAATTACGGATAGCGATGGAAATGATCGGTGAAGATGTTAATGAGGATCAGCTTACACATATTATGGAAGTGGCGGATTCTGACAAAGACGGAAAAATAAATTACAAAGGTGTGCAGAGAGAACGTTCTCTATTACAAATATTATTATTTTTGAGTAGGTTCAAGTTGAAACTACGTTTTGAAACCGACTCAAATTAAATTTAGTAGAAATTAGCAATGTCGCACAATTTAAGTAATTAGGTTTTTTTGAAGTTTAAACAAATATTTTTAAGTACCCTTACAACACCTCACCTCCACCTTTGCATATTTACTCATTTTACCTGAAAAACGATAAGGAATATATTGAAGTTGTGTGTTTGTTGGGTTTTCAGATAAGGCTTTGTTAATAAAATCTAAACATGTTGGAATTGAAAGAATAAGGAAAATTATCCATATATCCTGTATGTAAGCACACACTGTGTAACTTAAACGTTCTGGAGTGGAATTTTGTCAAATAATATAATTTGGGATTTGAAAAAGTTGTTTGCCATCTCTGTTTGATTGTTCTCAGTTGATTAGAAACAAATAATTTCAATTTTGTAAAGAAATTGTACCATTTTTAACATCACTATTAAAATATTATTCCAATCAAACCGTTTCTGTTGCAGAATTTTACCAGTTGCTGTCATAAGAGAGATTTCGACATGGTAGGAAGTTCGGTGGAAATAGCAAGCACCACTGGAAGCTTAAACCCATAAAAGTTAAATAAACCCTTTGGCGGTACCTGTATATGATTGTAGTTTAATCAATTTTGTATGTCCAATGTCAGTAGGTACCTTCTTTGAGTTGAAATTTAAGCTTTGAAGTAAATGATAATTAAAATGTCCAAAAATGGTCATATTTCTTTAGAACTAAAGATGCAAAGAGAAACTAAAATGAACTTTTAACAATAATCGTTTCATCACTACCTACTAAGAGTAAAAATGTAATTTTGTATGTTGAAGACTGACTGTGCTTTGATCAACTATACTGGTACCTACTCCATAATATAGGTACCTACAGAGATTACGCTTTAAAAAATATTATACAATAGTAATTAACTAAGTAGGTACGTTTTGCTTATGGATATATATACCTATTTATCAATTATTGTTAAAAATGACTGACGTAGTTCTGTTTTCAGAAAAGACTTTTTAGGGCAAACGTAACTATTAAAAAAAAAATAGAAACTCTTCCTAAATGTTATTTTTCAAGTCTTATTTACGTGTGTATATGTATTTCTTAAGATACCTATCTGTATTTTTTTTTAAATACAGGGCTGTGATTTAGCTTTAAATATTTTGGGTTTTTTATTTGGACATGAGCTTCCTATATTAATAATTCAATTGAAGCGTAAATGTTGCTGCACTTCAACCACAGTTTACTTCAACCATCACAATGATGATGAAGGATGCAAATGGTCGACATTCAGACAACAGGACCAAGTCTGTTCAATTGGACCATAAAAACTACAAATGACGGAGTCCCAGCTAACCTAAACTGTAATGTGCACTTTGGCGCATATCTAATTAGTTCTGACAAATGCCACTAGGAAAGACAAATAGTTTAAATTGGCTAAAATGAAACATTGGATTACTGTATGTACATTTATTTTTTTCTTTAGATTTTTGTATGCCTACGTTAAAATGCAGTCTTATAGGAACCTGAATCTCACAGAGCAAAAATATAGGTACTTATTATACATAAATAAAGTAAAATTAAACATTTTTTACAAAGTACATAACCTTTTGTAATTAAAAACATAAATAGTAGCAACAGGTAATAACAAAAATATATATGTTTGATCCGTTTGTGATAGAGTCGCACATTGTAAATTCTTCAAGGAAAACTTATCGTAAAAGTCAGCAAATTATTCGTCATACTGTCCTAGACAACAAAGTGTTGCTGCCGTATTGTCTTATAACTGCCCTAGAAGGCGCTAATGGATGTTCATTTGTTTTTTTATTGCTATAACTTAATAAAAATATAGCTACAACGGTTATACCAAATCCACAGATTGCCCCCAAAACACTGGTGGCTTCCATGTTGACCCATTCTTTAAATAAAATAGCAGATACCACAATTACCATTGTGGTAAACATGACGTAGTAAACTGGGGTTACTATACTTGTTTCGAAAACATCGAGAGCTTTGTTAAGGTAGTTCATCTGTAGGCAGATAAAGCAGATTACAGCGCAGAATATGACAATTACCATCCAAACGTCTTTGGTAGGAAGATCACCTAAATAATAGACAAAAAAAAAATGGTAAAACAAATATATACCTAATTAATAATATAAGTTTGTAGGAATGTACTAATTTTTTATTTTAGTTTAGACAATGTTCTAGTCTATAAGATACTCATTTAAACGGAGAGTATTTGGATACTTAACAATAAGGCTTAGGTTGTTACCTGAAATTGAGCTTCTTATAGCCAACCCCAGCGCCTTACATGACATAACTGTCAAACTTCCAGTGGCTGAACATAAAGCAACATAGACGGCCACATATTTGTTGCCATAGCGTGGGCCTAGGAAAAACATTATCACTATAACTATGACAGAGACAATGAATACATAATAAAGGAAATCAGGCTCTAGAACTCTGACCATTAAAGCATCCATGGATGGAAACTCTTCACTGTGTGGTGCGTGAATCACTACTACTATGGATCCAAGAATACATAGGATACAGCCCATCTGAAATTTTTGAAAAATAAACTGCTGGACAAATGAAACGGAACAAGCAAATTTTTAGGTTAACTTTGGATTCAAATATCACGCGAACTAAAAAAGATATCAATGAGCGGTTTGCGGAATTTAAGAGATAATTTATATCTGAACACGCTGCTTTGGTCCAATTTTTCTGTTTTGAAGCCCCTTACCGACTACAGGGTGAAAAAGAAAATAAAGTTTTTTTAACCAAAATGCGGTTTGTTCCGGGAGAATAAGAATTTTTAATTTTTTTTTTTAAGTATTGCCAAATTCTGAAGTTTGCTGAAATTTGGTTTTAGAACCGATTTTTTAAAATGAAATTACTGCCTTATTTTCAATGAAACACCCTGTATATTTTATCATCGTCGTAAAGCCTGATTTTTCTACTCTACAAAAATGTATAAGTTTTTTAATTGTGTTGAAGTCACATCTAAAAGTTACACTTTGTTAAAGAGGGTACCATCAACTGGCCAGAAAAAAAAGAAAAATACTTTAAGCAATAAGAGGGATCTAAAACATTCAGGATTTATTGAGTGGGGTCTTTTAATCAAACAACATTAATCGCGAGTGGATCTCAGGTTCAGATATAGAATTATGAATTTTTTCTCACTTAGATGCGATAAAATCTCTATTAAGTCACCTTTGGAAGCTTCTGAAACATACTTCAAGCAATCAGAGGGACTTCAAACTTTCAGGATTTATTGAGTAGGGTATCTTTATCGAACAACACAGAGATAAAATTATGAATTTTTTCTTACTTAGATGCAAAAAAATCGATAATCAATTTGTGTTTATCACTCTTATTAATTAATTAAAACCTTGACAATAAAGTGCAATTTTTACGGTGTGATTGCAACATAATTTAAAAAAAATATAAATTTTGTAAAGTAGAAAAATCAGGGTTTCTAACGTTGACAAATATACAGGGTGTTTCATTAAAAAAAATAATAAGAAGGTATTTTTATGTCAAAAATGTCTGTAAAACCAAATTTTATCAAATTTCAGGATTCAGCAATACTGTGAAATAAAAAACTTTTAAAAATCCTTGTTCTCTCAGAACAAACCGCTTCTCGTTATCCTTTCTCGTTTTAAAGATATTTACCAGCAAAATGTGTTAGTTTATCTAACTAAGGACACCCTGTATGACTAAAATTTTCAGAGAGACTTAAAAATTTGAAAATATACGGTGTATTCCATTACAAATAACAAGGGTATAGCAAGTCTAGAAAGGAACAGCAAAAGTGCAATGTTTTCAAACATATATAAAGTTTCAAGTATCTCGTCAATGGATAGATATTTTATCGCATCTAAGTGAGAAAAAATTCATAATTCTATATCTGAGCCTGAGATCCACTCGCGGTTTGTGTTGTTCGATTAATAGACCCTACTCAATAAATCCTAAAAGTTTGAAGTTCCTCTGATTGCATGGAGTAGAGGCTTCCAAAGGTGATTTGATAGAAATTTCACATGATTTTATTGCATCTAAGTGAGAAAATACTCATAATTTTCTTTCTGAGCCTGAAATCCACTCGCGGTTTGTGTGGTTTGATAAAAAGATCCTACTCAACAAATCTTGGAAGTCTGAAGTCCCTCTGATTGCTTGAATTATTTTTTAGAAGCTTCCAAAGGTGATTTAATAGAAATTTTACTTAATTTTATTGCATCTACGTGGAAAAAAAAATATAATTTTATTTCTGAGCCTGAGATCCACTCGCGATTAATGTTGTTTGATTAAAAGACCCTACTCAATAAATCCTGAATGTTTGAGGTCCCTCTTATTGCTTAAAGTATTTTTCTTTTTTTTCTGGCCAGTTGATGGTACCCTCTTTAACAAAGTGTAACTTTTAGATGTGACTTCAACACAATTAAAAAACTTATACATTTTTGTAGAGTAGAAAAATCAGGCTTTCCGACGATGATAAAATATACAGGGTGTTTCATTGAGAATAAGGCAGTTATTTCATTTTAAAAAATCGTCTCTAAAACCAAATTTCAGCAAACTTCAGAATTTGGCAATACTTAAAAAAAAAATTAAAAATTCTTATTCTCCCGGAACAAACCGCATGTCGATATCTTTTCTCGTTTTCGAGATATTTATCTGCAAAATGTGTCAGTTTATCTAAGAACACCCTGTATTTCACGAAGCCTAGAATTTAACTTTTTTGACACAGTGCCAGTTGAAAATTTTGAACGGCTCTTTGTTGTCAATATTTCAAAAACAATTAAAGGTAGAGGATGTTATTCAAATTATCGGAGAAATCAAACAATGCAATATCATACAGGGTGTTCCATTCAAAATAACAAGCGGATGGTAATTTACACAGAAGCGGCGACATCGAAGATATGTTTGGAAGATGCGCAAATTACAATTAAACAACTTTTGTTGTTGGAATAAGGTATAGGTATGCCCTTCTCACACAGGTCTCCCTGCACGTTTTTTTGATAATGGGAGCATCCAAAATGCAGAAAAAAGTTATGTGGATATTGGAAAATTGAACAACAAAAAATGGCTGAGACAATTGAATAATTGAATATATACGTGGACTCGTAACGTAAAGAGTTTCAAGCAATTCGTGAATGAATTCTTACCTATTATGGGTACACCGCTGCTCACCAAGAAATCAAATAAATTGAAATGTAGGTACTCATAGAAGAAAGATCAGCGTGGGCTGTTTTTATCACCTACCAAAATCTTCTTTTATAAAATACAGTGAGTTCTACCAACACAAAACCCCTGAAAATAACAGGATTTTGGAAAAAAATTGAAATTTCATTAACGAATAGGAATATCAAAAATTTGCGAAATTAGTTCTTTCTTCATAAATGAGAGACTAAAAAAATGACAACAAAAAAGATTTAGTTTGTGTTTGGTGGAAACCCGGTACTTGGAAATTTAGGTTAAAAAAACTTTACTTTCTTTTTCACCCTGTAGTTAGTATGCAGCTTCAATACAGCAAAATTGGACCAAATCAGCGTGTTCAGATATAAATTATCTTTTAAATTTCGCAAACCGCTCATTGATATCTTTTTTAGTTCGCGTGATATTTGAATCCAAAGTTAACCTAAAAATTTGCTTGTTCCGTTTCATTTGTCCAGCAGTTTAGTTGGTAATAAATTGGCCTAATATAGTATTTATTACAGTGTCCAAGCGCATCAGATTTTTGCACAGAATATAATACAAAAGAACCACACATTATGTTCTTACCTTTCCGTTGGCGTTAAGTGTTTCATGGAGGAACTTTGAGGCTAATATTGCAGAAACCAAAACACTGAGTGCACCCAATGGTGTTACCAGTGATGCTGGTGCAAATGCATAAGCACCAAAATTGGCCAGTTCTCCCACACCCACTAGAACCAATATGTATTTTATTAGAAGGAAATATGTACAAGGAAAACTGTTACATAAGAAGCAGGACATAGGAGTTGCAAGCAAATTTTTTAATAATAGATTGACCCAAGGTGTTATCTTCCCTGTTTATTCTAGGGCTAACTTTTATTATATTTATAGGATTTTTTGTTAGGTAGGTAGCACAGCTCAGCATAGAAAAATGTGCAAAACTTCCGCAATTTCCAAGCCCACATTAGGTTCATTCTCTAAAAGTCTTAATTAACAATCTACCAAAATCATAATACGTATAAACTTACCATATTATCATCAACATCCGAGTCATCTAATCTAATCTAGTGAGTGAATTTTTGGCTTGTTTTATTTGAACAAAAATGTAAATTTTGATGTTTTATCTAAAATTATTTATTGTCATCATTGAAAACATTTCACAAACAAAAAATTTGATAAAAACTAGGGTCAATGGACCGAGTAGCTGACCGCTTTAGTTTTCAACCAATTTGCTCATCAACATTCACCTACATTTAGACCTCGATTTCCGCATTTTAAAAAGTGTATTTATCAAGGTATCATCAGACTGCTAGGTTTGTATTGTACCTATATACTGAAGATACCGACAGTAGTCAAAATATTGTTTTGCTCACAACCTAAAATCATAGGTCTATAAAATAGAAACATCACCTAAATCTTACCAGAAAATATTTTGGCCAAGTGCAGCAATTGTAGTTTTTTTTTTTGCTGTAAATTGGAGCATAAGTTTAGTTTGGTAGTCACGAATAATTATTCATTGGAAATATTAATATCATTACCTATTGGTGAACAAATTGGTCTCGAGTCATTTGGCCAACAGCAAATATATTATCCAATATCTAGGATTATTCCACTCATGTGTTAGAAATCCTATAAGACGAGTGACAATTTTCAAAATTACAGTGAAAATTCTTTTGTGCATTGGTTTAACTAGAGAGAATAACAGCGATAATTCTCCCATGTTATTGTATTCATGGTTGTCATGCTAATTTTTGATACAAATAAACAGTTGCTGTAACGAACCATTTATTGAATGTTAAGTTGTTCAAATCGTTTTTAAATATTTATTTGCATATTTTTCGCATTTTAATTCGTGAAATAATCTCCTTAACACGTTGACTGCCAACTACGAGATAACTCATATTTGGCTACTTGAATCAGAAGCCCACTACGAATTATCTCGTACTAAGCAGTGTCTAGTATATCGCCCACTACGGGTAAACACGTAGTAAATGCAGGCATATACATAATGTTGGGCGTCTGATGTAAGGTCCAACAGTAACTTGACGGCGGTGTGGACAAGAAAAATCAATAAATTATTTTATTCGGATTTTATTTGTGACTAAAATAAAGGAAAATCACTCGGATATAATGGGCGTCTGGGGCTAAATTCTCATATCAGGCTTGGCAGTCAACGTGTTAATACCACTAGAGCTTGAAAATGGACCAGATAATTTTTCACTCATGCGTGTTTTCTTTGCAAATTTCACTCGTCCTACTGACTCGTGAAATTATAGAAAACAACGCAATCGTGAAAAATTATCGGTAATTTTGAAGCTCTCGCCTCTCGAGTATATTTTTTCTTTGATAATAAATTACTGAAAAATCTAAATAGGTATTGGCATTGATGATAAAATTGATTTAGTCTCAGGAAATCCTGTGAACAACGTGACAACACAGCTTCAGCCGCAATCAGCTGTTTTACTAAAGGTCGACGATACTGCGGCCAAGGCCAAGTCCCATGGAGGGGCCCATAATCAGGGGACGGATAGCAAACTGAGTCAATCAGCTGGTAATGAGAGGTTAATGAATCAAAATGTAAACAAAACGCAAAAACAACCTCCGATAACTCCAAGTTTTGTGAGTAATGCCATTAATAATGCTTTTTATGCCAACCGGCACAAAGAACTTGTAGCTCAACTTACCTCAACGCATACCAATGAATCTGGCCAGTCTTTGCAAAATATAAACAAACCAAATCTGTTTATGGGCACTAATGTATCCAGTGAGATCAAGAGTGTACCTTATTCTACTAGGAAATGGCTTTACTTGGGCAGAATCTCAGCCGAGTCGTGTGATAAAGATATTCAGAAGTTTTTGTGCAACAAACTACAAACACCTGAAACTAATGTCATTGTTAAAGAGCTTAAAAATGATAATCGAATAAAATCCTTTAAAGTAGGTGTAAACAATCAATTTTATCAAACAGTAAATAGCTGCGATTTCTGGCCCATAGGAGTTGTCTTTAGGGATTTTAATTTTAATTTGCCGAGACAGCAGAGAGACAACAACATGCAGCAATCTTTGCCAAATTTTCAAAATCAGCCTCCAAAAAACTGAAAATTCATTGTTATTACCAAAATGTCAGGGGAGTGAAGACAAAGCTAAGGGATTTAGTGTGCAACGTTATGGTAGAAAATTATGACATTATTCTCTTAACTGAAACATTCCTTGATGAAAACATACTAACTAGCGAAATCGGACTCCAAGGAAACTACACAATTTATCGATGTGATAGATCATTGAAGACAAACTCTGAAAAATTTCAAGGTGGAGGAGTTATTATTGCTGTCAAAAAGGAATTGAAATGTAAGCTTTTACCCTCAAATACAGACTCTTTAGAACAGTTGTTTGTTATGCTTACTATCGGTGACAGCCACTTTCTGTTTGGTAATGTCTACATTCCCCCAAATTCATCATGTGAAATATATGAGCGATATTCTTCTTCTGTTCTGTATGTGTTGGATAACTGTCCTTGCGAAAGACTTGATATGTTTCTCTGTGGTGATTTTAATCGTCCTAAAGTTTCGTGGATCTGCGATGATGATGGTTGCCGACCAATTGGTGCTACTTCAGATGAAACAAATTGCTTGGCGGATTGCATGTCTTTCTGTAACTTGTCACAACTCAATCAAATTTCTAATCAGTACGGAAATTTTTTAGATCTAATTTTTAGTAATAGAACAGATGTAACTATTTTTCCATGTGCAAGTCCGCTGTTAAGTTTAGATAAACCGCATCCTGCATTAGAGTTTGAAATTGGGGCAGTAAATACAACTTAAAGCTTGTCCTATGATTATTGGTACTACAACTTTAAACAATGTAACTTCAGAGAATTTGAACTAACTTTCACAATGGCTGATTGGAATAATATTCTGTCTGATCATGATGTTGATGTCTGTGTGCGAATGTTTTATGAAGCATTGAACAATTCCATTCAGGTGTCGACACCCTTAAACAGGCATAAGAATCCAAAATTTCCTAAATGGATGGATGACCATCTGAAAAGTCTTATTTTTAATAAAAAGGCCGCTCACAAAACTTACAAAATTTCATCATCATTGTTGGATTATCAAAAATTCTCCCAACTTCGCTCAGAATGTCGACGGTATGCCCCAATCAGTCATCAAAATTATCTTGATAGTATTGAGGAGAGAGTGCAGGAAAGAGATGGATTCTGGAGTTACATAAACTCTAAGAAAGACACAAAAGGTTTTCCTTCTTCAATGATCTTTGGTGAACAAAAAAGTGATACGCCCCAGGGTATCTCAAATCTTTTCTGTAAACACTTCTCATCAGTATACACCTCCTATGACCACAAGGAGATGAATATATCTAGCGACCTCTCTGTCAGTCTGGGTGATATCATTATAGAACCCATAGATGTTTACAACAAAATTTATCAACTCAAGAATGTAGGATGCGGTCCAGATGGTATTCCTGTGTGTCTTCTCAAGAACTGCATTTGTTTTTTTTCTTTTGTTTTGTCTCAAATATTTAATAAATCACTATCAACTGGAACCTTCCCTGATGTTTGGAAATTGAGTTATGTAACTCCAATTTTCAAGAGTGGGGACAATTGTGATGTTAAGAATTACCGCCCTATCTCCAAAATCTCTATTTTTTCAAAGATTTTCGAAGCTATCATAACTGACAAAATTACACCTTTATTTAAGCATTTAATTACACCAGAACAACATGGCTTTATGAAGGGCAAGTCAACCACTTCAAATTTGTTGGAGTTTGAGCAGGTCCTGTTTGATGCCTTGGAGGGGGGGTATCAGGTGGATGTCATTTATACCGATTTCTCCAGGGCGTTCGACAGGGTTGATCATAGTATCCTCTCTAGGAAATTATTAGCCATGGATTTTCATGGTAAATTTTTTGAATGGCTTATTAACTATCTTTCTTATAGGAAACAAAAAGTTAAAATCGAAAACTATCTGTCTGATTTTATTGAGGTTACGTCGGGAGTACCTCAGGGCGGACATTTGTCTCCTCTCTTGTTCAACTTATTTTTAAATGATGCCAAGCAAAACTTTGTAAATTGTAAATTTTTAAACTTTGCAGATGACAAGAAAATTTTTATTGTAGTTGGAAGTTTGCAGGATTGTGTTACGCTGCAAAACGAGCTAAATGGGTTTTTTGAGTGGTGCGAATTGAATAATCTTTCTCTTAATATCGATAAGTGTAAAGTAATGTCCTTTGGGCGTCTAAGGAATCCTTTCATTTTCAATTATTCTATCAACAATGTTGAACTGGAGAGAGTTTATGTTATTAGAGACCTGGGGGTTTATTTGGATGTGGAATTAAACTTTCATGAGCATATAGATAGGATTTCTAATAAAGCAATGAGGCTACTGGGATTTGTTTTTCGCAATTTGAAAGATTTCAATAATATTTTTACTTTGAGGAATGCATATTCTGCAATTGTTAGGCAAGTACTAGAATACTCCAGTCCAGTTTGGTCTCCTTTTTATGAAAATCAAAAGTATGCAATACAGCGAGTTCAAAGAAAATTTCTGAGACAAATTGCATTTAGATTGAATATCAATTATGACTCTATTGATTATGATGACATTTTATCCCTTTTAAACATGCAAACTTTACAGCAAAGAAGAGACCAGCAAGACTTATGTATCCTATACAAAATTATAAATAATATCATACAGTCACCAGATCTTTTGTCACTAATTGGTTTTCATGTACCTAGAAATTGTAATGTTAGAACAAATAGGCTATTTTATATCAAACATCATCGAACTAATTATGGCTTAAATTCTCCCATCTCAAGATTCTGTGGGTTGGCTAATAATATCATTGAAAGACTGAATATCGATTTTTTTAATGTAAGCCTAAATTCCTTTAAAAGAAAAATAAAACATGTTTAATTAAGATCCCTAATGCCAGTACTGGAGCAACTATTATTGTAGTATGTATTATGTTCTTTTTTTCTCTCTTGTATAAGTCTGATTATATTATGTATATTACACTCTGTGAGTTGTACCTAAAAACCTGTGATATAGTGGTCTAAAGATAATCCTATTAACAAGTGTAATGTTCCTTGATTAGATTGTTATTGTTTTTTTTATATATATATTATATTTATTATTATTGTAAACACTTTTAAATGACGTTGTCGTTAATAAAATATTTATTTATTATTTATTTATATTTATTTATTTGAGTAGCCAATAATTTTGCCAGAAGAAGATAATTATTGAAAGCTTCAAAGAGTGGCTTTCTCTGTCCCGAGTATATTTGTTTATTTAGCAACAATTTCTGGAGCCCTATATCAGCGTTTAGTTTGTAAATGGCAAATATTTGGAGGTTCATGCGCTGGTTAAATTCAACAGCCATTCCCAATAATTATTAATATTTTCAAGGATTTCAAAATTTTTCTCCTTGTTCAAGTCCCTACTGGTTGAAAACACTATGTACATTATTAACTAGAGTCTAGCCGTCACAGCCGGAGCAAACCCGACAATAGCCGAACAACGAACTCTGATGCATAGAATTTCGAGAAAAGAATTTAATTGTTATTTCTATCGTGTCTTTAACGACTTTAACCATTCTTATTTTCATCAAAACAAAATTAAAAGTCCATTTTACAAGATAATAATTATTTGTAAAAATAATACTTACATTTTCTGTAGTTTGGATTTAGGATAGCAATCCAGAAAAAAAACATAGAAAAAGAAAGTCCTTTTTTTTTAGTTTATTTTTGTCCTATTTTTTAATATTTCTAGAGAGGTATCAGCCGGCGTATTATCACGTTCAAATATTTCGGATGATCCAGAAAAAGAAATTCGATTCAATCTTAATGAACGTAAATAATGTGGAAAGTTATAGGACGCTAGGGCGGTGGAACAGACTGCCTATAAACCCAGTATCAAGCATTTTAAAACGAAAACAGAATGAACTTCTCTAACTCATTCGAACTACTCCCCCGATTTCCGAAAAAAGGTACCAATTACTCCACAGAGGAAATTAATTATATTGATTTTAAGTTTATTTTTGTTGTTGGGCTGCTCCTGATTTGCAATTTAAGGAGTTCTTAATAAATATAAACATTTTTTGTTTTTTTTTTAGCAGTGCTCCAGTAAACAACCTTTTGCTGCAACCCAATATACACCTTTCTTCCGAATTCAATGCGCTCAGCTCCACTTTCGGCTACAATTGTAGTTGCTCCACATGTGATAGCTAGACTTTAGTACATTATTATAAATGACAATAGAGATAGCAATCATACCATGGCAACGAGTATAGCATGCCTACTTATAAATGTATGTACAGAATATAGATTATAATCAATGCGTCATATTAATCATTGAAAAGGTGTGAGTATAAGGTGAAAAATCTACATGATACTTACTTGTTAAAAACCCTATCCACCATGTCCAGTCTTTTAGGTATCCAAATCCGCCAGCCGATGCCCGTAAACCAACTTTATTCAGTTTTTTGAGGGAAATCTTTTTAATAATAAAACTGGAACCAATAAATGCAGAGGAACTTACAGCCAAACACAGGCCAATATAAAAATCTGCTTCACTTATTGGAATTGAATTCAAGCTTTCAACAGTGGTAGAGTCTATAGATGACATTTTGCCTCACTAGTGATTAACTACGCAGTCTTGAAATTAAAACTCTCGTGCATCTCGTAATCCTAATATTGGATTCCCAATCTTGCTTTGCGTTTACTAAGGTAATAAAAGTATAGTTTAAAAATTTTAATTGCATTTGACTCATCGGATAGGATGCAGTCATCGGCAAATGTAAACAATCAAAATAAAATATAATTGGGTTAGGTTGTTCTGTTGTTTATGTTTTATCCACATGATTCCATAGGCAATTTCGACTCAGTTGGGTACCCTAGTTTGGTCTGTCAAACAGGTACTAACATTACAGCCGGTTTCTCAATAGCGAGTCACCTCCGGGTTGGTTTTAACTCCAGGGTAAGCCTCTCCAAGTTGCTCTGTTTACTCTGTGGTTATGCGAATGCTTAACCCGGGGCCGGGGGTGACTTGCTATTGAGAAACCGGCCCCACGCTATACCGTGGCTTGTAACTCGGTGGTGGAGGTTTGGTAGCATTCTATATCACTCACAGAAATCATAAACCATAGCAGGTCATCCCCGGGTTAAGGATAACAAACTGGTTCAAAACAGTTTGAAACAGTATATTCTCGCGAATAAAATTTGTACAAACCGTTTCGAAATACAATCCAATCCGCGTTTTTGAACCATTTTCTCGTGCCGAGAAGTTATATTATGACGTCATTGTAGAATTCTACTTTCATGACGTCACCCGCGATTTATTTATCGCGTACAGTACAGGCAATGATGACATTTACTAGGCAACCTGACGTCATGAAAGTAGAATTCTAGTAGAATTTTACTTGTCATGATCCCAGCCCTGGAGCTAAAGCTAACCCGAAGGTGACTCGCTATTGAGAAACCGGCCCCAAGTGGCCAATGTTTACCCTGGAGTAATGCTTAACCCGGGGGTGACTGTTATTAGTTGTATTCCTTTCACACCTAGGAGGAGCTCCGGAACAGCTCCGAGGCGTTACGCGCTTATTCCTTTCGAAAAGTGTTTGTTGCACCTGGGTGCTCATGCTCGACTCAAACCATTTAAATGCATGAAAGCCAGCGTATCTGTTCCTTTCAAATCGGGGTCGACTAACACCGGAGCGAGTAGCTCAAGTGCTTCAAATTCTTGAAAGGAATACAACTATTGAGAAACCGGCCCTAAAGCCTAGTACTCATAACTGCGGAATTCGCATTTTTTTGACATTGCTTCGACAATTTGACGTTTAATACACGCATAAAACGTCAAATTGTCAACGCAATGTCAAAAAAATGTGAATTTCGCAGTTATGAGTACTAGGCTTAAGGCCGGTATCATAAAACTATTTAGACAGAAAACTGGAAGTTGACTTCTGGAATTTCATAGTTATTCCAGAAGTTAACTTCTAGTTTTCTGTCAAAATAGTTTTATAATAACTACCCTTAAGCCTAGTACTCATAACTGCGAAATTCGCACTTTTTTGACATTGCTTTGACAAAGTGACGTTTTATGCATGAATCAAACGTCAAATTGTCGAAGCAATGTCAAAAAAGTGCGAATTTCGCAGTTATGAGTACTAGGCTTTAGGTACAGTGGCTTAATAAACCTTTACACACAGTGGCGACAATAGAGGTCTCGCGGCCATCTTGTTCCCAACCTCTTGTTACTTTTAAATATCAATATATAGGATTTAAATGGACATCTATCATAAAAAATTGAAATCGACGTATTTGATGACCATTATTAGGTCCATCAAATACGTTGATTTTCATGATTTATGATGAATGTTCACCTAAATCCCATATTATATTCATATTTAAAAGTAACAAGAGGCTGGGAACAAGATGGCGGCGTTTACAATATAAATATATGGGATTTTAGAACCAATCAAAAATAAGACAGCAATTGTCGCCACTGTGGTAATAGAGTCACTGTAGCTTTAGGTAGGTATAGTTTGAAAATATCAGGTCTGTTTCTGCAGAAATCACAAACCAGTCTGAGTGAATTTCATTGGTTGAAACTAGTTTTCTGACTGTTTTCAACCAATGAAAGCTCGAAACGCGAAAATTGAAAGTGGGTTAATTTTTGCGAATTTTATGTCCGGGCCTGCGTATTCCAAAAATGCTTTTGTCTTTTGCTCATTCGGTTGATTTGTTTTCGTCATTTTATTTTGGATTCTTTTCTTTAGTCTTTGTACCTGTTGTGCTTTGCCGTGTATTTTCTTTATTGTTTATCGCAATATTTTCTCAAAGTCTCATTTCCCAAATTAAATTAGATGCTCTTTGCTGTTCTCTGTAGGTTACCTAAATTTCATTCTTGCGAATTGCAACAAATAATACAATAAGAAACAACAAAAACAATGGGCCACTTCCACGTGCCGGAAATATTGCAAATAATGATATTTTAGTCAGATTATTGAATAAATTATTAAATAAAAATGATAAATTTAAACAAAAAATCACTTGACAAAAACGCTGTCTGATTGGCAAAAGCCGATATTCATGCCTTTGTTGCCATAGTTAAAAATGCGAAATTTAAATGAGTTCAATGATTATACCTATCCTTTATATTTTTATAACGTAGTAAAGGACGAAAATAGTCTCTAGGTGGTCAGTTGCGTAATGATGTACTCTAATGAGAAATTTGGTATCCTCGCCCCAACCAGCAATTTTAGTCGCCGCTACGTCTCCTTGACTACAAAGAGAACTTTAAAGTTGCTCTTACTAGTATAGGAAACCGCTTAGGCACCGTTTTTTCACCACGTTGTTACCAAAATGCAACTCTGAAACTTACCATAATGTAATGACACCGTATAGTTACCAAATTGTGTAATTGTGACCGAAATTCCACTAATTCTTCTGACTTACTAGAGGTTTAATAAACTTCATAGTTAGCTATTTGGTACCAATTACTATTTTTTACCTAATCATAGTAGCAGTGTCAATCAATGCGGGTTTTTATAACTTAAAAGCTAGTTGGGGCATTTTTACTGATTTTCTGGTTTGTGACGTCACACACCGTTATCCAGCGTTTTCGCCCAGTTTAAAAGTTCGATTTTTAAATATTTTATTTTCAAAAATTCGCGTTTTTTGGAAAAAAAGTATACAGATAGTATTTGAATGACTGAAAGAATAATTAAAATATGTTTTTGAAAAATGTGAAAGTGACCCAGTAACCAGAAAACCTGTAAATATAGAAATGCCAACACTACATTGTGGCATGTGGCATCGACACACACAAATCAATATATTTCTGTTTTTTTATTTATTAGTGTCTAGGTTTATACTTACATTTGTTATTCATACAAAATCGCCGTTTGGCTCGAATTAAAACACTATTTTTTTTAAAATTTGGTTTATTTTTCAACTTTCCTGTTCTTACTATGGCCGCGTAAGTTTGTAAGTTTTACTTACTACTGCACCTACCTATAGCAACCGAAGACGTCGAACGTTTCACTTACGTATGGAAGACTCGCTACAAAGTAAGTAAATGTCATATATCGGGTCTTTAATAAAAAAAAACAATCAAAGATTGCTATGGTTTTTTGAACATACGTCGCATTATTGTTCCTTTATTGGTCAGGATTTTTGACATGACATTTTGACATTAAAGTTCATTGACAAAATTGAAGGAAAATATTGCTACATACGTTTTAAAAACCAAAGCAATCTTTGATTGTTTTTTTTTGAAGACCCGATATGTATGATGGTCAACCATTTTTCAAAATGCTTACTTATCAAACCTGGTTTCCATTCCGAAACGATAAGAGATAGAGGTATAGGAACATTAATATTCAGATTTTTAATTCAGCATTTTAATGTGATAATGAACTATGCATTTCGTTCGAAATGAGCAAGTTTTTCATACGTTAATAAATCATTCATTAATGATTCCCGGCATCCCGTAAAATATTACGCAGAGTGCAATTCCTCTAAGCTTTGTTTAGCTTTGACTCAAATTGTAATTCATCAATATTTTATACGAGCGATAGCGATAAATCGCTAATTATTCCAGGTTGTCTTTTGACGTAAAATTTCGGAAATTCATTGTTTTCTCGATAACGGCTTGAAATAGACATTACGTTATAGAAAGAAGTTACTTGAAACAAACGATAAATTCGAAAATGTGAAAATATACAGGGAATTACAAATTCCAAGTAAATATGGGGATCACGGTAACCATAAAAGAGATACAGGGTCGGTTAAATTGGGGCAAGTTACGCAATTTTTTGCTCACCAAAATACGTTTCGAAATTTGGAAAATTTCGAAAATATTCGGAAAAATAAAACGAAATTTTGCAAAATCATTTTTTTTTTTCCTGATCTTATTTGAAGACATATACTTCAAAATAAATGACACTTCATCATTGCGACTTTTTCTCCTCTACAATAGGTAGGGCAATATCAAATTTGAAATCCGTCTTTGGGCCAACTTTTCTCAACCTTGTCAGAAAAAAATTAGATTTTATTTTTGGATTTTCATCAGCAGATGCCGGTGTAAACCCAGTCATTTCGATGGAGTTGATACAGAGCTCTATTCATGACCAATGTCAATTATAAGTGTAGTTCATATCAATGAACAATAAACAAAAACTGGAATGCGCACACATTGCCATATCCGCTAAAAAAATGATGCCATCAAAGACGGATGCCACAAGGGGGAATGTTGTCCTTTTCTATTGCTCACTGACATATTATGACGTTTTGGAAAGTTTTGTTATATTTTTACCTGCACAGGTTTTATCAATGGGAATACGAGTTGAAAACAATTTCCGCCATTTAACGTAATGAGTGCGACAAAAACAGGCATCCCCTCCGCAGCAGCGGCACTAGGCTTTACGTTCGTCAATATGTGTGCGCATTCCAGTTTTTGATTATAGTTCATTGGTTCATATAGATGCAAATCACGAATTGCGAAGGCCGCTCTCATTGGTCAGTACGTCCACCGTCAAGAAAAGTGACATTTGTCAGAGGTCAGAGTTCAATATTTTGCGATATTCGTGGCGGATTTCATGTCAGCGCATGCGTATTTCAAAAATGCTTTTGTCCTCTGCTCCTTCGGTTGTTTTGTTTACGTTAAAAGGCTTTCGCAATATCATTTTGGATTATTTTCCTTTGTCTAGTCATTGTGACTCTTATAGGTACTTTAATTTGTTGTGCTTTGCTATGTGTTTTCTTTATTGTTTATTGGAACATTTTCCATCGTAATTTTATTTATTTTTGAAACTTTGAAAAATTTACTTACATTTTCAAAAAAAAAAAAATTAAAAAAGGTTAAATTTTTAATTTACCCAATGGGGGGCTGAAGCTGGCTGAAACAGTTTGGACATTTTTGGTTAATTGAAAATGATCAACTTTGCGGCTCAATTACTCAGAAAGTATTTATATAGAATTTAATGCTCTTTTTAATATCATTTATTTTGTTCAATGGAAATATGTCTTTTATAATAGCAATTTTTCTTAACATTGGCATGATTGCCCATCCCATTAAAGGTGGTGTGATCCAGAAATAAAACTTTCAGAAAAAAATCTAAGAAAAAACTTTCAAATGGCACTAGGCTACGACCAACCGTTGCGAAGATACCGTGATATAGAGTTCCCTCTCCCAGCACTCTGTGACGTCATATGCACAAACTGAGTCGGCCGATGCCGGCAGGCGCTGAGCGGCGGCTGCTCATGCTTGCTGCATATATTATATCGTATTGTTTTTGCGTTCCCACCCCTATCACTGCGTCAGTTTAAATATGTTTTGTAATTTTTGCGTGTGTTTATGACGTCACGCGATGAATGGACAAAACTTTATTTAGGTGTATCTACTTATTATTTTGAGTAGCGATGCGAGATTTTCACAAGAGTTCTTAGAATGTTTTTCTTTATTTTCTGAAGACAAATTGTATTTCAAGGTTACACCCCCTTCAAGGAAATCAAAAACTAACAAAAAACTGAATAAGAAATTTGGAGCCGTATTTAAAAAAATAAAGTTGATGATGGTAAGTAACTCGAAGACGAAACGTCTAATTCCAAATTTGATAATGCCATAATGTAGATGAGAAAAAGTGGCAACAATGAGGTGTCATTTTTTTTTGAAGCATCTTCTCAAATAAGGTCAAGAAATAATAAAAAATTTGAAAAAATTCGAATCTCTTCGGAATTTTCCAAATTTCGAAACCGCATTTTGATGAGCAATAAATGAGGAATTTGCACATTTTTTTTTTATTCTCTTATTGAATTTTTCACCTTGTAAAAAGTCACTTGCCACATAAATTTTAAATTTTCAACTAATAGTTTTTCTGTAAAAAAATATAGCAATTCAAAATAACTCTTTCCGCGCCAAAACGCACTCATAAATGAATGACGTCACAAGACGGTATCCGTCAAAACGAGTCTCTGTACTCCCTCTCTCTCTTACCCATTGTGTTTTGTCATTGGTTTATGCGACTATGTCGATCATTGTCATTTTCCATTCACTAAACAAAGATAGTGTTACGTTGATTTTGGAAATCAATTCTCTTCCAGTGAACTCACACCCTATATACATTAAGAGAGGGAAAGATATAAAGGTGTTTTTTCTCGCTTAAATTGGTTGAACCAGGTTGAACCTAATTCAAAACATTACATTTTCGCGTTGAACCAATGACGTAATAACAAAACTGTTTGAAAATATTTTGAAACGAGATTTCGCCTCGGTTCAAAAACAAACGCATGCGCAATAGTTTAAGAAAGTTGACAGTTTGTTGTTTATGTTTATATTTGTGTTGTGTCTTTTGTAGCAGGTCATAGATGAACAGAACACTCTTAAATTTTTTGAGAAATATATTAGGGCTATGGCTAATTACCAGAAAAAAAAACAAACAAAAATCCTAGGTTAGGTATGTATGGTTAAATTCTGGTTTGAAAACCTCATTTTTTCTCGAATGAAAGTAATGATGTCATTTTTAAATAGGTTCAAAACAGATTTCAAAAACATTTCGAACTGTTGGGGTCGAGAAAAAACACCTTATGTTAACGTGATACGTGAGCCGTCAGACGCTTGTGTTTACATCGAATTCTACCGATGGATTTACCATTCTATGTCGGTCATTGTCATTTTCCATTAACTAAACAAAGATACCCATATATATTTGTTACTATCATTACTACACTATAAGTGTTTTTTCTCGAGCCCAGCGGTTCGAAATAATTTTGAAATCTGTTTTGAACCCGTTTGAAAATAACGTTATTACTTTCATTCGAGAAAAAATGATTTTTTCAAACCAGAAGAATTTAACCATACACAACCTAGAATTTTTGTTTGTTTTTTTTTCTTCTAGTTATTAGCCGCCTATTTTCTATTTTTCAACAAATGTAAGAGTGTTCTGTTTATGATTCTATAACCCCCTACAAAAGACACAACACAAATATAAATATAAATAACAAACTGTCGACTTTCCTAAACTACTGCGCATGCGTTTGTTTTTGAGAGCAACGAAGTAGTCTTTTGGAGGAGAAACTATTTAAGAAAAATCAATACAGTGACGCAGATTAGGTATATGGATGCAACCGAGAATGAACAATATTTTGCAAGATTTTAGTCAGATTATTGAATAAATTAATAAATAAAAATAGCAAATTTAAACTAAAAATCACGTGACTCAAAACGCCGTCTCATTGGCTTAAACCGATATTCATGCCCTTGTTGCCACATTCAAAAATGCGAAATTTAAATGAGTTCAACGATTATACCTTTCCTTTATTTTTTTATAACGTAGTAAAGGACGAAAATAGTTTCTAGGTAGCCAGCTGTATAATATAATAATTCACTAATGAGAAACTCGGCATCCTCGCATTTTCGGGAAAGTCACCTTCCTATCCCGTTTCTTCGCAGCAGTTTACAAATTCAATTTTCAAATCATTTTATATTCAAAAATAACCGCTTTTTTCTGGAAAAAAGGTATAGGATGATGTTATTAGAATGACAAACAGAATAATTTAAAAATGTTTTTGAAAAATGTGAAATGGGCCTATTGTGTCTTTGGAAATAGTTCTATGTTCCGGGTTCACTCATAGTTTCATCATCCCATCTATCCACATGCTCAATATATCTTTATGTGTGTCAAATAAATTTGCTCTTAGTCAAAACACTCGTAGTAATTGTTGCAAGAATCAATCCAGTTGCAGAAGGCCTGGCATTTTTTTGTTCTCTGTAAAGATTGTAAACTTATTCACAGTAAGTCTGGAGAGAGATGCGTTTATTTTTGAATAACGATATGACCCAACTTTGTGTACGGAAATTGAAAAAATTATAATCAATATGAGCTCGAAATATATTTACTTTCTGGTCCCTCCAAATATGTTTTTTTTTCCTGTCGTTTTCCTAAAGCCTTGTACCAAAATTCAACATAGTGGATCAATTTTGGGCATGTTCCCTATGCCCCACGGTACAGGTTCGGGGAATTTTAGTAGTTATGTTAATTAGGACCATGAAGCGATTGCTGCTGGTCACAGCATTATGGAAATTTCTCCCAATGTTATAATGTGTCGTACTTATCATAATTGTTATTAATTACTCTAATATCATTATTAGTATATTATTTTTACCTGTTCATACGAGTAGTGTCAAGAGACTTTATGCCATAATAATTAATTTAAGACAGTTAATAGTAAAGATAATTTCTTAAAAGATATATGAAAACATAATAATATTACACCCAACTTCCCCATAAATGCTCTCGCCTAGATATGTAGGAATATGAAATTTTTAAAAAATCCCAAAAAATCATTCAACTAATTTTTTGAATTAGTTAATTGTCTTGCAAAATTATCTATGAATGTTGAAAGATTGACTTTTTTCATCATCATTTGAATAGTTATTGGCGTTTCCAATTGGTCCTGCTCCAATTCTCGTTCCAAGTAACTTACTCTTAACTTGGAGAAGATTGGACATCTTAAAGTATTTTGTAAGTGGTGGTTAGTTATTTTTATGTTTTACAATGTAAACATTTTGTGGCATCTCTACTGAATTTTAGTGGTCTACAGGTAGCTTGAAAACTATGCAAGTGTAAAAACGATGGCCTCGCCAAGCAGTACCTTTGATAGCAGTACTAGTATAAATTAAATGTGCAAAAAAAAACTATACCAAAAAACTGAACCCTCGCTCGACAATTCAGTTCAGTCGTCCTAAACTCTTCTTAACATAAACACGTGAACTAAATATTTTTAAAAAATCAAAATTTTATTTTAAAATTTAGGGCGACCAAACTAAAAAATATATACGTACTAATTTTCAAAAAGTTTTATTCATTTACTTATTTGTAATTGTTAAAAATGGCGGAGTGTTTACCGTTTATAAGATCGCCGGAAATGACAAGGAATTCGGACACAATGTCCGAAATTTCGGATAGCGGTACCATCACAACTTCCAAGTGGGGCTCCAGGGAGGAGGTGAGGGACCTAGTTACCAAACTGGGATTGAACGACCCTTCTGAGCTTCATCGGGAACGGTTTAGAATAGACCGATGCAAATTGGAGAAAATGTTGTCCGGTAAGAACACGTGGCTTTCCTAATAAAAAAATATCACCTATTTCCTTTGATTTAGGAGTTAACGAGGCTATTTTTCCTGCTGATGTATTTTTTGCTAAATTAATGGATGAAACGGACACCATTATCACATGGCCGAATAGATTGAGAGTTGGGGGCAAATCCAGAAGAGGTATAGGTACCTAATGGTTTTTCGAATACATATTTTATTTTAATTTGTTTCATAATTTTTTTTAGACCCACATGTAGGGATCGCTGGTATGCCAGAAGACGTGCAAAGGGCAAGAGAAAGAATATTGGGAGTATTAAATTCCACAGTAAGTATAGCATGAATATTATGTTTAAAAATAGTTATTCAAGTTATGAGTGTGATAGTATATTACGTAATTGGCATTTGAAAAACGAAAAAAGGTAGCCAAATTTGGGTTCACGGGACACTATTTCAAAAATATTTTAGGATTGATTTGAATTATTGGAAATGAGACCTTAGCGTCATTATTTTCAGCTCTGTTTTTTATTTAAAAAACTACAAATTTAATTTTTGTCAGGAATTTTTCACACAAATGAACAGCCCCCGATGTACAAGGTAATCCAATGCGTCTTGAGATTCAAGAAATTTTAAATACTTCTGCAAACCGAATTTGTGTAAAATTATTCTTGTGTTCTCTTTGGCTTATTTGGAGAGACATTTTTAAATAAAAGTTATTTCATTCAGACTACTTTTTTTCCCTTTTGAGATGGCGTCATCAAATTGGAAATCCGACTTGGTGCGCCATCATCAAATCAATTTTTTTTAAAGACTCTAGATTTTTGTTTTATTTTTGATGATATTTGGACCACCCAAAGCCAATGGCGTGTCATATTTTATCAATACATTTTTGCTGTCTGTTGAACATTGGTGAAATTATGGCATAAGCAATTATTGGTTCAATAGTTCCCACCATTTCTTTTAACTTTTTTCTTTTTCTTTTTCTTAACAAAATGTCATTGCCCCTTTCTCTCCTCTACATGACATTACTAAATTTGAATTCCGACGTTTTGTTCTTTTAAAATCCTTATTTATTTTTTTTCAAATACGAATCTGTATCTATTTCATCAACATTGTCTTATCGGGCTTGAAGATAACAAAAAAGAAAAAAAAAATCCAAGGCAGAATATGAAAGAATTGAATGATCGTTAGTAGAAAAGGAAACGTCGGATTTCATATTTAATAACTTTATTTTTTGGAATTGAACATAGGCATTAACAAAGCGTCATTTTTTTAAAAAATATGTTCAAAAAATGAGGAAAAAATTAAAACGAGTTTAAAAATGATGACTTTAATTCTGAAAGGAACGTACGAAAATATTTGGAATTTCTCAAATCTCATTTCATTAAAAGCACTTAATTGTACTATTTGTCACAAATTTAACCAACTTTGTATCTCCTACTGTTTACGAGATTCAAAGGATAAACCTCGAATTGGATCCACCATCTTGAAAACAAAGTATTTTTGGGATTACGTTGATAAAAATATTAATATAAGTATAATTTTCATGAGACTGTATTTTCAGAGCCACCGTATAACAATGAAAATGGACGTCAGCTACACTGATCACTCCCACATCATTGGCAAAGGTGGCCTCAGCATTAAGCGCGTCATGGATGAGACTAAGTGCCATGTGCACTTTCCTGACTCGAACCGCTCAAATCCAAACGAGAAAAGCAACCAAGTATCTATATCCGGAGACATAGAGGGCGTAGAACTAGCCAGATCTCGCGTGAGAGTAAGTAGTTTTTTGGATTATAGAGAACCAATTTTTTTTTTTTGTAACTAAGGTATATGGTATGTTTCCCAAATTTGTTGAGCAATAGATAATAAAAACAAATGTATTGCGATAATTTAAAATTTTGGGTTTCTTGCAGTTTAACTTTGAGTAACTTCCTTTATTTTTTATTTTTTTGAAAATGATTTATGAACAACAGAATGGGACACCCGGTGTATTTTTACTAATATCGATGCAATTAGGCATTCCAACGACCTGTCAAAACTCTTCTAACATAACGTCGGTAGGCGGAATTATCCCGTATATGAGAGTACAAAATTTAAAGTTTTTCAAAGTGCATTGTGTGGTTGTTTTGTGATTGAACTGTAGGTATTTTTTATTTTAATAACTTCATAGGTGTTTTTTTTTCAATTAAAAATGCCACAAAGGGGTCTTGTAGTTGATTGTGGAAGTCGTTTCAACAAGAATGATGTCAGGTTTTTTTCAGTGCCCACCGTTTCAACCTTTTTCAATTAAAACCTGAAAATTATTCAGTAACACTGTCCCAGCATCTAAAATAGAGCCAGACTCAAAATACTTGTAAGAATCCAAGCTTTTGTAGGCCTTCATTTGCTAATTGCAGTAAAAACTGTGGGTCAAAATGTAAACAAATGTCAACTGGACATTTTTTTAAACTTACCGTTCACCTACATCCCGATTTTCCTGCATTATCTAAAGTCTTTAATTATTCACTCTGCATCTCGAAAAGTATATATTATAACAAAGTAAACTGTAATTAGCTCGAAAATATTCGAAATAAACTTAGGATAAACAAAAAAACGTCAATTTTCCCACAGCCTCCATATTGAATAATCACGTGGTTTGGAAAGCCTAATTTTGAGTAGGTATTTGCCACTTTTTATCAAATAGCCCCCTGAAACTCGAATACCACAGATAAGTTAAAAAGGTAATTTTGGATCAAGTCTCTATTGTTCTCTGTGCTCTACAGTCTCATTTAATATTCGCAACACTATATTTTCGATGTCTACCTTTTAATTTTTTTTTCAAATGAAACATGGCTATATGAATTTATTCAATTTTTTTTTTTTTCTGATTGACCAGAATTTTAAAAATTCGTTTTGAAATACGTAGGGCCACAATTATGGTAACAAAAAACTCGCATTTTTTTGAATAATTTTGGGGCTGTTTCTCAAAAAGTTACAAGTGCCGGGTTTCCAGTTTGGTGACGTTTTCCATCGAAGCAAGAGAAAATATACAGGGTGACCCACTGGAACCAAATCGATCCATACAGAGTAACACGTAAATGTTGGAATTAAATCCATAAAATATACAGGGTTGATATTTTTCAAAAAACCTCGGACACGCCGCTTTTTTACTTCAGTGGCCGTGTTTTTGATGATAATATCATGTTCCTTTACAGGGTGGCCCAAAAACAAGTTATGACAGCTTACTTTATTTTTTCAAATGAAAACACCAATTTTTTCTATTTTCAAATTCTACGTTAAATTCTGTAGGTACCTATTTTACGCATCATGTTCTATACCTATCTTCAACTGTTTCGGAAATATTGACAGTTTAAAATTGACTTTTTTGCAGCTTCGACAGGCCGTTAAACCTAGACGGTTAATTATACTTGGAGCAAAAGCGATCGTACACTCTAAAGGCGGGTATTATAAAACTATTTTGACAGAATAACTATAAGTTAACTTCTGGACTGACGGTACTTCTCATAGTAATTCCAGAAGTTTACTTTTAAATATCTGTCAAAATAGATTTATAATAGCCTCCCTTAGTTTCCCATAAACTATCAATTGACACCAATCCTGTATTAAATCCATGATTAAAAATTCCGGTCAAACTTAATCTCCGGTTAAATTCAAAGTTGGTGTCAATTGATAGTTTATGGAAAACTAGAACTAGAATATATGATCGGTTTTGCTGTAAAATTAACCGTCCAGGCTTTACAGCCTGTCGACGTCGCAAAACAGTCAATTTTCAACTGTCAATATTTTCGAAACAGTTGAAGATAGGTATAGGACATGAAAAATACAATAGGCTCAGAATTTAACGTAGAATTTGAAAATGAAATAAAAAATTGATGTTTTTATTTGAAAAAATGAAGTTAGCTGTCATAACTTGTTTTTGGGTCACCCTGTATACATGATATTATCATCAAAAGAACGACCCCAAAAATTAAAAATCGATGCGTCCCAGGTTTTTTGAAAAAATTCAACCCTGTATACTTTATGGATTTTATTCCAACTTTTACGTGCTCACTGTATATGAAAAACTGTACTATACAAAATTTGAAAATTTGACTTATGCTAATGTCAATGGGAGCAACCCAGCTAATATAGTTTCAAGATGGTGGTACTTCCCGTTATACCGGAAGTAGACGTGAACTTGTTTATTTCAAATGAGACACACTATATATGGGGCCGTCCAAAAAAAAAAACGGAATTTTGTTCTTGAGCTGTAACTTTTTTTGTTGTTGACCAATTTCCTTTTGTTTTGGCTTGTTTGAAAAAGAAATAAACAGGCTAACTAATCAAAGTGAAACTTTTGACATTCGATTAGAACTCAAAATGGCAGACTTCTTCATAAATTACATAATTTTGGATAGCGCTGGAACTTTTTTGTGTGTTTCACTTTGATTCGTTAGCCTTTTCACTTCTCTTTCAAACAAGCCAAAACAAAAGGAAATCAGTCAACAACAAAAAAAGTTACAACTCATACCTAAATAAAATTCCTGTTTTTTTTTGCCCACCCTATATTATTTAATTTCTGGTTTCTACTCAAGATTCTATATAGAGACTAAGTGTGTAATGTCTTATACCTAAATCTAAGCTAAGCACTTTTCGAAATGTCAAATATATAAAGGACGAATGAATATTGCTATGTCCTAGAAATGAAATAATCACACCTATTATGGATTAATCTGGTGTTATATCTATAATTATAAAATTACGTCTAGGAACTCGTACCATTGATTTTCGGATTTGAACTGCCAATCAAGTCTCAAACCGTTGATCTAAACTCGCCCTATATGGTTAAAGTTCGGGAGCAATACAAGGTTCAAGTGATGTTCAAAACTAGAAACGGCAAATTACATTCAACTTTGGTATTGGTCAAAGGACAAGATTGGGATGTTCGGCAAGTGAAACAGGCTACCTTGATACTGAGGCAGTACTTGTGCGAAGATTTGGCTGAACAGACACCCTTTCAAATGTCAATGGAAATCTCTGCTCATCATCATCAATTTGTTTTGGGCAAGAATCACTCATATTTAAAAGAAATCATTATGTACACTGGCTGCCAGATTATGTTCCCGGATGCTCAGGATCCAAATATACCAAGTTTGAAGAAAAGTAACGTGACTATTACTGGGGATATTCATAATGTTTATAAGGCCAGGCAGCTACTTATGGGTAGTCTACCTTTGATGGTGGTTTTTGATTTACCTGAGGAGACTAGCGGATTAAAAGTTAGGGTGAGATTTTTCTAAATTTTATTTAATTTTTGAGAACATATTAAATTTTTCTGTATTCCAGCCAGAAGAAATTGCTGAAATCCAAACATCTTGTGATGTGAATATCAACTTTAGACAAAGAGCAAATAAACCTACTAAAGCTTGCGTTATCAAAGGCGTTGAAAAATGTACAAGTAAGTTCTTTCAAACTCCCACAGAACAGAATATCATTTTCGTTTTTGTAGGTGACATCTACAAAGCGAGAAATCTGATTCTTGGTCTAGATGAACCTCCAATTTATGCTGATATACCCAGTTCCTATTACATTCCAGCACCTTCATCTCCAGCAAAAGATGTTCCAACAACAATCCCGAACATGGGCTTTCCTGTATCGCCTCTATTATTATCTTCTAATTATCTTTCCCCATTTATTTTCTCCACTCCGCCTTCACCTCAACAGCATTCAACTGAGTGCCATACCAATAATAACAATAACAGCTGGACATCTCTTGTTAATCAACAGCAACAACAGTTTTTCCCGCCTGATATGAATGTCAATCAACTTCATCAATTCTCTACAAATAGCAGTGGGTAAGTGAATTTTTTTTAATAGGTATCTATATTCTTGGTTTTATTTGATAATAGAAAATAGGCATCATAATAATAAAAAAAGAACGTAGATAGCAGTTTTGCTAGAGCTTAAAATAAAATTTTCCCTTTTTCCTGTTAATTTTTAAAATAAAAATCATATAAAAATGGCTGTTTAGGTACTGAACGATAAAATACTCTTTTTCAATCACAGGCATTAAAATTCTGCGCTGGTATGTTCCAGCATTTGACTTGTTTTATTGATGAAACCAATTGCAAATGCCGAGCGGTTTATTCGGGCTCCTTCATAAAACGTGATATTAGGAGAAATTAATCCAAAACTATAGGTTCAGCCAGGATTAGATTGGCTGATAGATTTTGCTTCGCCTCAACTAAAACATTCTCAAATCAAACCTTTTTATGTAACCTATAATTTCTCGTATTTTCAAGGATACTTGAAAAAAAAATCACGTTCACCAAGATGGCGGCGGAACCTTGAAGTCATAGACTGAGCCTATGAAGGTTTTGATAATTTCCTAAACCATTTCAAAAAAAAAATAAAAATCGAATTGTTACACGTTGTCATGGAGAGTCCACTTTATAAACTTAATGCCTAGAGTAATATTTGCTTATTTGCACAAATCATTGAAAACATTTATTCTTACAGTTACCACTCAATCGATCCAACCAAATTGGATAAAACTTTCACGGCTGATTTTTTAAATGTAAGCGGCAACTCTGGCCATTCGTCATCGTTCTCGACGATACTCAGTACGAGTACTAGCCCAAGGGACTTGTCGCCCAGTGGCCATGGAAGTTATTCGGACAATTATGGACAAAATCAACAATCAAGGGAGTTTTCTGCTGTTCTAAAAGAAATGAATAACCCGGGAGAATTCCATGGGCCAACATTGTATAGACCAATGCCGGAATCATCTCCGTATGACTATGAAAATAAAAGATTATCTGCAATGAGAGCTATGCGTGCCAAACCAAATCCAGATAATATCAGGGTTCCCCATAATTCATGGTCTGGATATGGAATGAGTCATACAAGCCCTGGAGGCTTTCTGACTGATAAGTTTAAAAACGACAATCAAATAGGAAAGTGGACGTATCAATCACCAAGACCGAATATGCAGACTGAAGTCAAGCAATCTTGTACTCCAACCATGATGAACACCAGCAATTTATTGGACCATACACCTAGTCAGATTTGGAATAGAATTAAAAACACTAGGTAACTAATTTGGGTTTATAAATTTGTGTTATCTACCTAATTATTTGTTTTATTATAATTTCAAGTAATTGGTGTGAGGACTTACCTACCTTATTGACCACGATGAATTTAGAACACTACATGGCTTTGTTCGAGAGTCACGAAATCGATATGGCTGTCTTTTCAACATTGGGCGAACAAGATTTGATCAATCTTGGAATTAATGCCTTTGGGGCTAGACGAAAGATGTTGCTGGCAATTTCTGGTAATAAAAATCATTCGTTAGGGATCAAAACTAGTTCATTATTCAGTCAGTTCATAGGTAATTACCATATTTCCATTCGCTTCGGTGAGAGGAAGATTGTGATTGAGAATTATTCAAAGGACCCCGCACACTTCTTATGGGATTTTGGTTGAACGCGGAATTTAACCAAATTTTCGTATGTTGTACATTTCGACCTCCTGAGTAAAAGTTCTCATGGGTTCAAACCGATCCTATGACTAGTTACGGATATACGGGGGTTTTTCTAATACTACCTCAGGCAACCTGAAACTTCATGCTTTTTGCGTTTATTTATGGTAGGTAGCTTTAAAAAATGTTGAATAAGTTTAGACCTTTTCTAGAAAGGTGCATGTTTTAAGTAAGGTGCCTATACATGTGTATGTACGAGGGTGTTTTAAAAAGTACTTGTTTGATGGGCCTTTATGCAGTATGACAAACTACCCAGCTACCTTAAGTTATCAACAATAAGATTTTCATCTTCATCCTCAAATCCTAACTCGTTTCCTTGCTTTACAGCCAATCTATGGACTTCGATATCTTTCCATAATAAAACAGTGCGACTTACTCTATAGTTCTTCGTTGCACACACCCTTGCCCCAAATTCCATTTTCACAAGAATAGTGACAAAAAAAGACAATTCGCTTTATTTACAGGGTCACTGTTTTTGTTTCCATGGTAACCAAGTAAAATATGACATATGAAAAAACAATTTTCATGCTTTTATTTCCACGGCTGTTTGGATTTTTCAAACAAATCATCAAGTCACGTATCTCCTCAATTGTAATTTGTATACCTAATACCATACACTTAGACCCTAGGCCAAGGGATCGATCATGAGGCAAAAAGCTTTTAGCACGACCGTAGCGAAAAGTGGAATTCATTGAGAGATAGAAAGTCACTTTTATCACAAAACTTAGGTACCTACAAGTACACAATTTTTCACACTTTTGGTCATTAACTCATTAATAGGCATAGCTTTTGAGTGTCTCTGGTATATAAAGGAAGAATTACGAACACCTACTACCCAGCTACTAAACATTTTTAGCTAATAGCTAATAAATGCACCTTTTTTGCTTTATGTACTCCTCATATAGGTACTTAGGTTGCCTAAGGTAGTATTAGAAAAGCCCCCGTATATCGGAAACTAGTCATAGGATCGGATTGTACCCATGAGTACTTTTACTCAGGAGGTCGAAATATACAACATACCAAAATTTGGTTAAATTCCGCGTTCAGCCAAAATCCGATAAGAAGTGTGCGGGGGTTTATATATTTATTACAAATACTATGCTAATATTGTTAACACATCGACATCTAATCCAGTTTTTAGTTTAACACAGAAAGTATATTGTTAGTAATTTTTGCCTGTATAGTTTAATAAAGGTACCTAACATAAATATATATCTTCTTTTCCAGCATTTAACAAAAAAAATACCCCCTTCTCTGCCGCTCCCGGTGCTGAAAGAAGAAACTCGCCTCTAAACGATGAATAGTCTCGGAAAGTAAAAAAAAATACATTGAAAAAAATAAAAATGTACATGTATTTTGGTATGCATTTAAATATTTTCTATTATTCTTTAATTTTTGTTTGTTATTTATCTACGATTTGTATGATTGTATGAACGGTGTGCGTCTGTATTTATTTAAATTATTATTGAGTATTACCTTATTTCTATTGAGATTTTCTAGTTTTGTATATTTTTGAATATTTAGTTATCCAATATTTTTCAATTGTCCTAAACATTTTCATTAAACTTAAAGAAAAACATGCATTCTGCTAATGTTTTTCTTTATTGTTTGGTAGGTACTGGAATGGCAGTGGATCTATTGGATTTTTAATCTGTTTGTTGATTGTTTTGTATATTGAAAAGTGCGTATATTTTTACGATAAAATACAAATTAATGTGATATTTTATGTGATAAAATTTATATCGTAAGTGCGCGAATGATCGATTTTCTAAGCAAAAGTTTTAATTTATTCCTCGACGAAATTTGTTAACATTGCTATTGATATTTATTGAATTAAAATTAATTATTGTTTTAAAAATTAAAACTTTTGTATTTTTCGAAGTCTTTAATTATTTATTTATTTATTACTGTTAACCTAGACTTTATAATGATACCTACCTACTTACAATTATTTATATTTCTTTAAAAATATATTACATATTATTGATTTTGCATAAAATATTTTTTTTTTTTCAATTACTTAGTGACTTTTAACCTCGCTTTTAACATTGAAAACCTACGAGTATGCGTACCTACATAGTATATGTGTAGTACCATTGGTAGTACATACATACGTATTCAGTTTTTTGATATTTTGGATTTGAAATTTGAAATTATAATCCAAAAAGATTTTCAAAACTCAAAAGATTAGTCCACGATGAAGTTGGTATGCAAATAATATAATATTTTTCTACCAACAAAATCTCGAGTACCTACTGGATATAAAATCAAACAAACAGTTTTTGAAATGGTTTTTTTTGACAAACAATAAGAAATTTTCATAAAAAATCTGTCGGTATGGTAATTTCATTGCCATCACCGCTGAGTCAGTAAAATGAAAAAATTCGCAAACTAAAAATTCTTTCCTATGCGGTTTTTTAATGGAACAGATAATTTTGTCACCATTGTTCATCATGTATAGTCTATCGTTTCTCAAATGAGACAAGGCAAAAATTGGGGTCTCCACAAATTATCGTATTGCACGTTAAAATTATTATACTATTATTAGGCAAAATATATTGAGCGTGCCCGTATACAATGGATGCGAAGCCACGTGCAAACAATGCATCTTATTGGTTGTTTTAGAATTTTTATCGCAGTCCACGTTGACTCCAGGAATTCTTATTGGTTAGATTTTTTAGCGGTGCTCTGGCGTCGTCTTTGGCGGCATATTTCTTTGAAGCGGCTGCCGCACAGGAATCAGTTTCGTCTGAAAAGAAAGTGCAGTAGATATTTTTTATAAATTTGATTCCTATATTCGAGTTGTAGGTATATTTGGATTCTACCTATAATTCTGAGCAGATTTCATGTGATATACCCTATACCTTAGTTCAACTGTTTGGAAATATTGACAGTTGAAAATTGTCTTTTTGCAACTTTGACAGGCTGTTAAACCTAAACGGTTAATTTTTAGAGGAAAACCGATTTTACATTCCTGTCTTCGATTTTTATAAACTATCATTTGGCACCAACTGTGAATTTAATCCATGATTAAAAATTCCAATTAAATTTAATCTCCGGTTGGTGTCAAATGATAGTTTATGAAAATCTAAGACAGGAATGTAAAATCGGTTTTCCTCTAAAATTAACCGTTTAGGTTATACAGCCTGTCAAAGTTGCAAAAAGTCAATTTTCAACTGTCAATATTTCCAAAACAGATGAACTTAGGTATAGGGTATATTACATGAAATCTGCTCAGAATTATACGTAGAATCCAAATATGCAATCACATACAGGGTGTTCCATCTAAAATAGCAATGGTGCCACTGGTTTAGAGTAGAAGCTGCAAGACCGCATAAACAAAAATATTTAGGAAGTGTAGATTATGGTCGTTTATCCCGGTTGCCAAATTTTCAAAATGATCCGCTTTTTAGTTCTCCATAAACGTCTAATACGCCATCCACCGTGGGACACCCTGTATTCAAATGGAAACGCCGCCATTTTGTGCCCTACCTTTTGCTAATTCTAAATATGAATATATAGGACTTAGGTGAACATCCATTGTAAAAAATTGGAAACAACGTATTTGTCAAATAATTTGCTTTGTTGTTCGCCGAGTTTTGAATACAAAAGTTGATCATAGATGTCGCCTACTTCGGCAGCTTTTCGCTACTTCGTGACATTTTTACATGTAAATTAAAGATTGATTATCGTTTAACCTCCCTTAAAATGGCCGGTGCAAACGGTCATTAATGACATTAGATGTTTTCATTGGTTGAAAATATACAATAGAACTGTATATTACGTATATTATTCGATACTCATAGAAAAACACAATTTTGCAAAATTTCGATTTTTCCGGAAGTATTCGGAATATCCCAAATATGAAAGCGGCATTCTGTTTAGGCCGTGTTTATGTTGGAGCTGTGATAAATGATAAAAGCAACGATACTAGCGAAGCAACGAAATACAATACCTGTATTTGTACGCAGGTGTTTATGTTGGAGCGGCGAGTAGAGCAGCGCTTTTTTGTGGACCAGCGATAAGAGCGGCGGGAAGCAATTTTGTATATTTCTTTGCTTTTATCGACTATGAGTGTACGAGTGTTTATTAAGGTTTATAATATTATTATTTTGCCTGGCTGAACGAGGGAGACGATGGAGTGTTTTTACAATAGTATATAATGCAACGATTATGTAATGATAGCCATTAATACACGAGCATGTTGTAGGATACGAAACGGAGCCGCATGCGAGTTTTGTATATAACATGCTCGTGTATTACTGGCCATTACATGAGAGTTGCATACATTTTTTTTGATAATAGTAAGTAAAAATTCTTCATCAGAATCACTCATTTTTACAGGCAACACTCCGCTCAACTAACTGCTTTTACTTGACTATTATCGCAGCTCCAACATAAACGGATCGAAAAAGGATAGGTACTTTTGAATAGCTAATAATAGGTCTGTTCCCACAGGAGTCTCTGACAGTTTGCAAACTGTCAGAAACAATCGCTCAGCTGAGTTACAGTTTTATCTTGTAACCACAGCATTGAAAACATGCATGGGCGATGCTTACCGACAGTTTGCAAACTGTCAGGGACTCCTGTGGGAACAGACCTTATCACCGCTATTATCGACGCTCTCATAGCTTTTATCACAGCTCCAACATAGACACGGCCTTCAGGCTTCAAATTACGCATCGTTGCCCTAGTTCAAGCAAGCCAGTATCCCTCAAGGAGAATACACACTCTAAGGAGTGCTTATCGGCTTCGTTTTTGGTAATCGCCGCCATATTGGTTTTCAACTGTTTTCAACCATTGCCGACGTCATAACTAAGTCGTCAGCTGTTTAAACAGCCTACGTCAAGGCGAGAAACGCCATGCTGCTTACGTCACAACTGGTTGTTTGGCTAGGCGGGGTAGGAGGGGATTTGTTACACACAGGCCTTAATAAGATAAGCCATCCTGTAGTAGTAGTGTGTATCTTCCTTGAGTATCCCTCACCGTTTCCGCCGACATCCCAATGATGTGACTCGAATTTGAAACACCCTGTACATCAGTATGACAGATGACAGGGTAATTTCACAGATAACATCAAGGTTTACTCTGAATTCTGAATAAGGTTTATAAGAAAGAAGATAACTTGTTCCATTTAACTTGGTACATTTGTTATTGGTGTGAGAGCCGTGTCCGCCCAAACTTATTATTGAGCGCAGAACATTCCACTGTAACAGAAGCTACGTTCCAATATTTTATCCAGAGGCGTTTTTCGAAATGGCACATAGGCACACTAGGTTAGCTTACAGTACAGTGGTTAAATAAACCTTAAATGGACATTTATCATAGAAAATTGAAATCGACGTATTTGATGACTATTATTAGGTCCATCAAATACGTTGTTTTCCATGTTTTATGATGGATGTTCAACCCAAATCCCATATATTCATATTTGACAGAAGCAATAGGTGGGAACAAGATGACCGCGTTTTCAATATAAATATATGGGATTTTAGAACCAATCAAAAATAAGACAGCAATTGTCGCCACTGTGGGTTAGAGTCACTGTAGCTTCTGTCTTCTGTCAATTCGTGGACTTGTTAGCTGTGTTCCAATATCAACTGCCAGTACTGGATTTACTGTGCTGATTTTACTGTCATTTACCGTTCCGATTTCAGCAGCGTACTGCTGTGGTCATCATTCAGTACTGAATCGACTTAAGCCAGTGTACTGAAAATAATAGAAAGTTCTCGCGATTCAGACGCTACGCTAATACGGTACCGCTAACAATACGGTATTTTGAATCGTATATTTTATAGTTCTCGGACACGAAGACACAAAAATCCTCTAATCCCTTATCAAGGACGTACCTATATAAGGGGGGGTTTTGGGGGTTCGAACCCCCCCATTGAACTGAATAATTTTTTTTTTTTTTTTAAGAAAAATAAACGTTTTTGGGCGTGGCATTGAATTTTTTTTTCGATGTCCTGAGCGATGCTACGCGAGGACCTATACATCGTCTGGTCTAAAATTGAAACCCCTTCCAGCCAGGGGCGTAGCCACGGGGAGTTTTAGGGGTTAACCCCCGACTTGATCAGAAAATATAAATAAATACCACTTCTGGAATGTTTAAGTATATAGTTTTTTACCCTCAACATTATATTTTTTTCATATAAAGCATTTGACCTTGAATTTATACAAAATTTTCGCCTGCGCCGCAATTTTCTTTCTGACGCCACTATGGACATGCAATGTTTCTTAATTTCAAGTAGCGAACCCCCCCCCAACTAATTTTTTTGGCTACGCGCCTGCTTCCAGCATAGACCACGAGCTGCTCTAGACAACCCCATGTGAAAGCTATAGCTGCGTCGTTGTCCCTTATTCTGTTTACATTTTAACAGCTGAATTGAGTGATCTAACTTTTTTTCCTTGTTGCCAACTTTTATTTATCCTGAAGATTCCTGGGTTTGCTGTTCTTGCAGACGTAAATGGAGAGTAAACTAATTTTGACAAATCATAGCGTTACGCTAAGGCATCCGCTAACGCTAATACCGTAAGAACTGTCATGCTTGTCAAATAACGTTACGGTATTTGAAATTTGGACAGCACAAGAACTCTCTAATATCGGGCTCCTTATTCTTGAAACGGGGGAGCAGCCTTCTCAGGAGAACGAGTGTTCCGTCTTTCTCAATGATATGCAAATGATAATATGGGTAACAAAAACGCAACACTCGTTCTCCTAGGAATCCCTATATCAAGAATAAGGACCCTGAACGGCGTCCAGTAAATTCAGTACTGACAGTTGATATCGGAACATAGCCGTTTTCGATTCTCGTCTTGCAGACGGGAGCAGTGGAGTGGAAAGCACATCAATTCCAAAATGGCTGGCTGCTCGGTGTAGACGAAACGTCACTCGTCAGTATCTTACTATCTTGGACAGGTAGGAAGAAACTGTAAAAACAAATGTACCCCTTTTTTTTCCTGATATTTTGAATTAATAATTACGTGCTGTGACTGCTCCAGTAAAGGAAAATGTCCGCGGAACGTGAAATTCCGGCCGAGGACAGTATAAAAGTAGTTTGTCGGTTTCGGCCCCTAAATGATTCGGAAGAAAAGGCAGGGTCTAAATTTGTTGTCAAATTTCCTTCTGGGGGAGAAGAAAATTGTATTTCAATTGGGGTAAGTAATGTTTATTTTACTAGTCTCAAGCTACACCCTTTGCTATTTTTTTTATCAGGGATTTTGTCATGTCTATAGTCAGTTTTTTCTACAATTGACTATTATTGCAACAGTGCCTTTAAAGGTCAAATCCTTTTTGTATCATTCTGAACATCTGTATCAAAATGTAATGTTTGTAAATATTACCAATGTAATGAGTATCATTTTTTCTTGAACGCAAAATAAGAAAACGCATCAGGAAATAAATTTATGCATGCTTTGCGAAATGGACTATAGCCGATATTTGCGTTTACGTCATGTTGTGAGAGTAGATAGGTCTCGCACCACCGATCATCTGCTAATAGGATTACTTTAGTTGATTATTCATCAAAATGTTGCATAAAGTGTACTTTTTATCAGATTTCTAATGAGTTTTTATTAATCACAAAGGCGATACACTGTTAATTGGGATTGTTCTTGTTTTTATAATGAATTCTATTGAAATGCGAATAATCTACAGGCTTTATTCACCCGTCTTGGGTAAAAAAAAGAATTTCAAGGGCTAATACTTTATCATCTGTGGGTACCTCGTGGAACAACAACAACCATGCTATAAAGAGAACATATGAATCTACCTACAATAACATGTTCGTGTTAAAGTAAAATCCTACTCTTTTGTTAAACAATTATTCAATACAGTAATTATTACAGAAGAGGTGCACAGATCTCAACACTTTGTACATGTTTTTTGAAAAAAAAAAACATATTTTCAAGTCCTTCCTGTCTACCCATATGTGATGTGCCAAGTTAAGACAATACTTATCATCCATATTCACAAGTGATTATTGACAAATAGGTACAAGCACAATCAAGCATTCGAGAATAAAAATTTGTTATTGTCTTCAGATGTTCTAGGTCCATTGGTTCAAAGGATAATAATACATTCCCCCTTTACCTGCATAATGTCAGTTCTGTCTTTTCCTCTTAAATCCTCTCAAATTAGATTTATAAGCCTAGCAGTCCCATCCCATGGTGAAATAAAATTTTGGGGCTTAAGTAATAAATAATTTTTAGGTGCTAATTAGGGCCTCTAATTGAAAGGATCCTTTAGTTTGGAGAAAAAAAAAAAAAAAACAAGGGACTACTAGGTTCATGAAGCTAGCAGTTCCCTATAGCAAAAAAAATATTTTTGAGAATGTTTTTGAATCAGAATGAGGTGCCTATTTAAAGGGGGTGTGCGCCAAAAATTAAAGTTTTAGTGTAAAAAAATCTAAGAATAACTGTTCAAACCTCGTTATTCTACGATAAACCATCCCTGAGATATACCTCTTTAAAGTGTGGACGACGCTCTCGTGACGTCACGAAAACTTCGTCCACCCGCGCTTTGCATTGTTAATTTGATTGTTCCCGGCACGCGTGAGTGATTTTTGTTTAGATTATTGCAGGTGACATAGGAAAAACATATGTAAATTCAATTTACTTCACTTTCTCGTGCGTCGCTTGAGCTTTGGTGACGTCATAGGGTGAGATTCGGTACCTTCATAGAGCCATATCTTCGGTATTATTTGTCACAGAGGGGTGCGGTTTTCACTGTTATTCTTAGATTTTTTTTCTCTTTTTTTTGAGTTGAAGTTGTTTTTTTGGCGCACACCCCCTTTAATTATAAATTAGGTGCTCTTTTAGTTCTTGAGAAAATCTTGTAGACTGCTAGGAATTTTTTCTCCATTATTAGGGGACTGCTAGCTGGCTTTATGTTTACTTGGTTGTGCATTTACAGCAAATCTGTGACAGTAGCTAGAATGTTTTTGAACCTATGATCATTAAGTGCTATGTGAGTGCTCCTAGATAGTCAAAGAAAAACTTGAAGCAGTTAATTATTAAGGAAATTATAATATTTGTTGTATTCTAAGGGGACTGCTGGCTTCACGTTCACTTGGTAATCTATTTACAGTGAAGCTGTTGCAGTTTTTGTATAGGAATTAGGTGCTCTCAAATCAAGTGATGTCTCATGCTCTTAAATTTTGTACACCTATTTCCTTTTTGGAAATATTTTTCTGATATTGCCCGTAATCTCTGAAATTACCTGAATATTCAGATTTTTTTTAAATATTTCCTATAATTTCTAAAATTTCCTAGGTAATTTATGAAACCTCCTGAATAATTTCCTAAATTCCCCAAATAATTACTGATTTTCTATGAAATTTCTGACATTTCCAAAACAAAAATTGATAATTTTCAAATTTTTTTTCAATTTCTCCCCAAAATTTCCGAACATCTCTACAATATTTACTGTAGTTTTCTAGAAATGAACATTTTTTTTCTGGAATATATACATGGTGGTCACAAAAGTTGGCTGTTGGCTCCAGTTTGTCACTCTTTGAAGAGACCTTCAACTGGTTTAATCTTCAATTGTCAATCTAGAGGGCATCAAATGGTAATGGTTTCTTAGGCCATATAAAATAGTCTTCTTTGAGGATCTTCATGGTGGAATGATCCCTATTAATGTCTGTCACACGACCTATATAGGTACTATTTATCCTCATAATAGCAAACATAATACTTTTCAACTATAATGGCAATTTCTCCGATTTTTGACCCGATTTCCTATTGGGTTTTTCTTGGGGTTTCCTCAGTTGTTTCCTCTTGACAAGAGTTTCCATATTCGCTTTTCAACGTGCTTTACACTTGATCCGTATTTTGTTCAAAAATCGTATCAGTTTTGATACCCGCCATTTTTGGTTTCTTTATTTTTTTCTGCTCTCTTTTTATTTGCTCCTTGCTTCCTTAGCCAGTATCCTCAGCAAATGATCACTTGCAATGCTACCTTTTTTTCCTCGAATAACCAGCAAAGTGTAGACTTTCTTACAGTTTTGATGATGCCATAGATCTTATTCTCAAAAATGATGAAGAAAAAGTCGTTTCATGATTTAGGTAATTTTTTACGTTCAGATCTTTCACTTCTTCTATTGCGACATATCCGTCTCAATCAAGGTCTGTATCGGTTTTCAGTGTCTTGTCGACTGTAGTTACCGCATCTTCTATAGTTTCATCGTATCCCAGCTTCTCACCTTCTAATGTGTTAATTGATATATCCTGGAAATAATCGAAAGTATGCCTTATTGATAAGTTCAGAAAATTATTATTTGACATGAAACATGAAAGCGACCAATCAACCCTTATTATGGCTTGCTTCTGCTAAAAAAACATATGTTTTCAACTTTGCATGTGAAATTCAAAGGGTAAAAATCCTGGTATACATATACTGTGTGATACTTCTAGTTTATGATATGTGTCTATACATACCTTTATTTTGTTACCAGGGCTGGAACTCTGTAACGGATAGAGATCGTTATCCCTATCGCTATGCCACTTGTTGTCTTCTTTTCTCCTGTGGAAATCAATAGAGACGAGACGTCAATAGAGATAGAGAAAATATCTCTATTCGTTACACAGTCCCAGCCCAGGGTCCTTATTCTTGAAACAAGGAAGCAGCATTCCCAGGAGAACGTTTGTTGCATCTTTCTCAATGATATGCAACTGATAATATAAGTAACAAAGACGGAACACTCTTTCTCCTGGAAACGCTGCTCCCCTGTTTCAAGAATAAGGACCCTGGTAGGTACTTTTATTCACAATACACTGGACAGAAACTGAACAATATTCGAAACACAAAAATTTTCAAAGATTTTTGGTGACAATTTCCTAATTTCCTATAATAATTTCAGTAAATTTTCTATAATTTTGAATAATTTCCCAATATTTCAGATAATTTCCCAACATTTCTGAAAATTAACATAATTTCTAACAATTTACAGGAAATTTCCGTAATTTCCCTACCTTCCGGGAAATTATTTTGAGATTTGTACACCTATTCCGACTGTGAGACACCCCTCGTCTCAAATAGTCGAAGAAAAATTCGAATTAGTTAATAAGTAACTTAATCACAGATTTTTTAAAAATTATTATTAGGGAACTGCTGGACTACATTTACTTTATTGTATATTTACAGGAAAGATGATTCCAGTGGCTTTAATGTTTTTGTATGGGAAATAGGTGCTATTTAAGTGCTCTTAAATAGTCAAAGAAAAATACGAAATAGTTGATTCCCTAAGTACTGATTGCATTACCGATTTTTTTGAGTTTACTTGATGGTGTATTTGCACTATTCACAGCCAATATGATGACAGGGGCTAAAATGTTTCAAAGTTTTGTATAGGAAAACTAAAGACGCACCTAATATTGATGCGAAAAAAAAATTGAAAAAAAAAAAAGATAAATTATTATTTATAGCGGGGTGCTAGGTTTATAAACCTAGCAGTCACTTTGTTTTTTTTTCTTTGCTCAACATCTAAAGAAGCACTCATTTTCTAATTGAAGACCTTAAAAAGCACATAATTCTGAAACAATTTTTTCAAAAATACATTGTAGGGGACTGCTAGGTTTCATAAACCTATAACAGTCCCTTAGTTTGTTTCGATTTTCTCAAAAACTAAAGGAGCACCTAATTTTCAAGAAGAGGCCCATTAGCACCTAACTTTTATATAAGCCCTGAACTTTTTTTTCCCCCATGGAACTGCTAGGTTCATAGACCTTGTCAAATTGTGTATGTGTATGCAGGTGGTGAATTTGTACACTAACCTGCTGGGTCTGTTCACCCTTCAGTTCACAACATTGAAAAAAGGTTGGCTACAAGAACAGATCAGATACACTATTTAAGTTAATTATTTCGACCTTTAAATTGAACAATTATTCTTGAATTATTTTTCAAGTCATGTCGACCTTTCCCAAGATATGCACTGCAACAAATGCTGGTATATTTCCCACAACTCGGCCATCTTGAGTTACTTCGGCCTGCGATGTGACTTCGTCTTCCTCTATGTCATGATCATCAAAGTGGTCTTCATCTTCTTCGTTGTATCATCATCATAGTGTTCCACTTCATCATCAGAATCGATTTTTTCGTGATAATCATCATAGTCCTTTTTGTATCCAAACACATATTTATGGAAGCTTTTTATAAT